TGCTGTAAGAAAATATATTTGGTAGTTTAGTGAAAATGGCAACAAAAAAAGGTCCAAAATCTATCGGTTTTCTTTTGTGCACACTGTCGTGGAGACATATTGTACTAAAAAAAATATCCCTTTTTACTAATTTATGTAATTATAGGTACCGAACAGTCAACCACTACTTTCATTCAGGCAGTGGTTCAGATACAAGTGATCTCAGAGTATAAACTGACCAAAGCGGACAGGACTAATTATTTGGAGCAAAGGTCTTTGTGCTTTGAGTGTCTCAGAGACCCAGATAGAGCCGTCAGGCCTGTTCCTGAAAGAAAGTATTCATGTCAGACTAATTCGGAGAGTTACAGCCCAGAGCTGCCTGCATCTTCAGGAAATGTTTCTGAGATTACAGTTGCCGGGCTGACGGGTGTAAACACAGTGGCAGATGGCCTGCGCAGCTAAAGGGGTACATTACGGGGGGAAACCTTGGCTTGCTGCTCACCACACTGAGCTCCTCTGTGGTGTACAGTCTCCACTGCAGAGCCTGAGAGTCCACATCAAGAGATAACATTGTCGTCCAACTCTCAGCCAAGACAGTTTTTGCTCCTCCAGCAGTGAAATTATGTTATTTCTTTGTTTTGGAATGATGGGTGGGAAGGGGGGGGAAAACCCCTAAATGCTATTTGCATGAGTAATTGTTTATTCCTCCGTCTGATTGCTAGAAACAAGAAAGCGCAGTTAGTCCCACACTCTAATTGTGTGAGGCCAGACTGATAAACAACTACAAATGAACAGATGGGGGGGAAAAAAAGAAGAGAAAAACAACTGACTGTGACAGCACACAGAGCGAAAAAGAGAAGATTTCTGGCTCAGAACGGATGGATCAATCACGCCTTACAGAGCTCATTACATTAGAAAAGCATGTCTCCTCAAATAGAGCTTTCCTTTTGTTGGAAGAACAGCTTAAAGCCATGGCAAGCATAGCCATGAACACTTCCTGAACGTTGCCACAGTTTAGTATTGACTTGTGTTTAACAGATTGAAGTTGCACCTAGGAGACACAAATTGGATGTAAGTGAGATCTCATTGGGATTTATTTTTTTCTGCTCTCCTGTGAGTGCACCGCGTGTGCCTCCTTATTGAGTGAGGGTTTTTTGTTTTTGTGTTTTTATTCCTCCCCTACTCTGCCGACATGTCACCTATATGGAGATTAATGACTTCCTCGCTGTCCCAGATCCACTCAGCCTCAACAGGAGAGGGGGGGTGGGGGGGGTGGGCGCAACCAGATGCCCATAACACCGTAGCAACATGCAGGTCCCACCCGCCGACTAGCAGATTGTGCTCAGGGAACCCCCCACAGGATGGACCCAACCCAAGCCAACTGACATTGTCTACACTTCACACACACACACGCACACACAAACCTGTGACACACAGAGAAATAGGCCACCTGGATCGCAGCATTCCTCAGACACCTGATCCTGCTGTTTGAGACTTCAAAAAAGCCTTTCAGGTGATTTATCGCCTTTGTCTCGTCTTCTACATGAGACGAAGACACGTCCACAGCCATGCTCGCTATACAGGGCCAATATCAGCGTGCTAACATGCTCACAAGGACAATGCTAACATGCTGATGTTTAGCAGGTATGTTTTCCTTCGTAGTGTTAGCATGCTAACATTTGCTAAACAGCAGTAAACACAACGTACACCTGATGGGGATATGGTTAGGTTTTGCAGGTATCAAATTTTGGATAAATCCTCTGGGGACCATGCATGTCTGTACATACTCTCATGGCAATCCATAAGTTGTTGACTTAAATCAGTTTGGACCAATGAAAGTCATTTCTCAACGTCATAGCTTGAGCCGCTCTCAGTTAGCCTTCCAAAGTTGTGAAACCGCTGTTTGCTTTTTTCTTGGAGCACATTTTGGCATTTCGCTCCGTGCCACCCCCTCAGCCAGTCGAAATGTCTGAGGTCAAGCATGTAATTTCAGAAGTGGGCCGCCGTCTTCCACTTTGTTCAATCACGTGGTGTTTACTGAGAGGACCTGTAAATAAACACAGGTAAACCACGTGTGGGTGGAGACCTGCAGCCGAAATGCAATCGTCCCCTGATGAGTGCAATTCTGTGCTACCACAAAGGATGAATTTATACAGCTGGAGAAAAACTGAGCGTTGAGGACAATGGAATGACAGCGTTTTACGAGTGTGGGAAGTAATCAGGGCAGAATGGGAGCTAATACAAATACAGTGACTGCTTTGTTGTGTCTGAAGGCAGATAGTTTTGTTTAAGTAAAGGTGTATTTGACTCACCGCCGGTGATGCCTAGACTCAACAAAGATTAGTGGGCACCCCTGTTTTGGACTCAAATTGTCTCGGAAACAACAGGAAACAGAGGGTTGCTGATAGAAAGCCGTTTCCACACCACTCTCACGTGTCAAAATGTCAGTAATAGCTGGATTAGCCCCCACCTTTGTTTTCAGGGTGGTGGAAAACACGAGACTCACCTCTTGCATACAATAACACAATGGACAGTGAAACTGACTATAAACACAACCTGTCTAAAATTACATAGAACTGTTTATTCTGTCATCATTGTTAGGTCGGAGCTGTGTAAACACAATTAAGAAAAAGAATATTGTTGTAATCTGTTCCCTCACAGAGCCCAAAAGCATCATCATCTGCCAGATAAAAATGAACGGAAATATTTGTAACCATACATAACCTTGAAAATGTGTGACCCCCAAACTGGATGGAAACAAGGCTGAAAATAAAAATGTAGCACATCTGGTAGCTCACAAAAAGCTTTCACACTAACAACAGATTGGTTTCCACATCACATCCAAACAGTGGCAGCCGTTGTCGGGAACAGAGGACACTGAGGTCAGGTCCTCGTTTTTTTCTGGGAATTTGTTTGAGCGATTGGAAATGTTTACACAATCCTAAAATAAAAAGGGTTCACGTGGTGGGTTTTTATTGTTGATTCCAGCATTTTTGATTCAATATATTTGAATTTACCACTCTAATGGAAAAAAAGGGATATTTCCAGACCAGGGGACACCATCACCTCAGTATCTCTAAAATCCTGGCTACAGCCCTGAGACCACTCAGGGGAAATGTCTGAAAAGAAATCTCAACAACTTGGGGTGCGGATGCATAATTCAGAAGGGCATCAGAACAAAATCAACAAACGGTTAGTTGCCAAAGAAACCTCCCAGACTCTTCCGTGAGTAGAGCTACAAACAGCGTGGGACAACAACCTTTCTGGCACATGCTGAACGACGCAGTGACTTTTCCATATGTCACACACAAGTCAAACAGTAAAAAAAAAAAAAGGAGAAGCTAAAATTTCACAGGCACAGCTCTGTCAGCAGTGTCAGTTATTGGATGTCGGGTAATAACTGAAATGCACACACCTTAGGAAATCCCCCACCTGACAAGCATTCAAAATGATTATATAAATCAACATCACTGTCGGTTAGATTCTTATCTGTCTATGCTGAAGCTCAAAACCTTCCAGGTGTAAATGTGCACACTTTGACTCAAACTAGGCTCTAAATCAATTTACTGCAAAGTAATTTGGATGTAGTTTCCTCAGAGCCGAGGGCAGAAATCCCACCAAAATGACCCAAAGTGGAAACATGCGCTTTCATATAATCCTGAATAATCCTTTGGATTAAAAGGGCTGTGCTCTCTGTCTCTCAAGTGGATGCAGAGATACAGACATCTCCGCCCAGCTGGAAAACACAGACTATGATGACCTACATTATTGCACAGTGGGCACAGGCTCCAGAGACCTCGAGCAGGCATCTCGGCAGCCCGGCCCGTGCCAGGTCTAAAAAAATAAAAAAGGCAGACAAAAGAGTTCCAAGATGCACGGAGGACTGTATGTTAAACACAGTGGCTGCAGATTAACGCTGTGTTCCTGGAGGGCCCTCCCTCTGTTGTGCCTGCCTTTGATATGTGGCACAACCTGCCACCTCCAGGGGCAAGGCAGACTCAAGGGGAATGTTAAATGGTCCTTCCCTTTGAGATGAAATGTTCAATATGAATCATTGATGGCGCCCCCCTTCGATTCCGATACCTCCTGGCTAAGATAACCGAGCTGCACAAATGAATATGCTCTCATTAAGAGCACCTCTGCTAATTAGAGGCTAATTCGTGCTGGATTGGAGCACAGAAGAGGAGGAGGCCGCTGAGCTGGATGCAGACGAGGAGGATATTGCACACTCTTTTCTTCTTCTTTAGATTCAACTCTTGTCATTTCTCTGTGAATGTGTAGGCTACATGTGTGCAGGCAGGTGTGTAGATGCATCTCCTCTTTAGTACCTGACGTGTGCATGTGTTGTGCAGCAAAACGGCCCAGATAGCTGAGCCCTGTCCAGCCATGCCCAGAGGCCTAAACACATTAAGTCAATAGTCGTCTGTTTGCTGACGCATGTCTGTCCTCCTCCTCCCTTACTACAACCACGACCTAACGCGTCACATCCCAGCACTTTGCACTATGGAGCTTTACATGTAGGTAAGTCTCGATAAAGTTGCCATACAGTTCAATCTACTGCGATGCATTATGTGCAGTTTTGTAAGGTTTGAGTTGATTCTGAAACACACTGGGCTTCCCCTTCTGCTCCAGCTGCGTGGCTGCCACTGGCTCTCCTGTCGACGGGGCGGGACTTATGTAGAGTGGCAGGAGGTGTGTGACGGAGCACGCGGTCTGATTGGCCCGATAACTTTAACAGCCACTTTGAACATCCAATCAGAGCAGCTCATAAGGCAGGCCGCCCATGTCTACGGACGTTGGGGACACAGCTAGAGAATTTTTTTTTTTTTACGAATCATATGGCATCATATTCTGTTATATTAAGTCATATCATAATGCAGATTTTGATCTCAATTAAACCTTTTGTACAGTTGGAGAATGTGTTGATTGAAACGTCCCCAGCCAGAGCAGAAGACGACTTTTTTTGCGCCCCCGTGGCACCCAACCGCAAAAGCGCTCAACTATCACGGAATCAGACCTACCCATCCCCCGTTATCTTGTATCCAGTTGTTCAGAGGTCCATTCAAATACTCCGTCATCCACTCCGCGATGTTGTCCACCTGCGACGCCATCTCCTCCTTGGCGGCGCACTCCACGCACACCGTGCCCCCGAACTCGAAGAAGGCGATGATCCGGCCCCAGTTCACCCCGTCCCGGAACAGTTCGTCTATCACCTCGGCGAACCTCCTCTGCGCCGTGGTGGAGGTGAGATACAGCTGCCGCGACATCTCCGTGAAGTCCGGCTGGTACAGTCGCTCAAGTTCGTTTCCAGCCTCGCGCAGGACCCTGTGGATGGCGGCGGCGGTCGGGTCGGACTGCGGGAGCCGTTTGCAGAGGTGGGGCACGCTCTCGCTGTCAGGCCCGGTGCTGGCTTCGCGGCACCGGCGGACCAGAGTCGGCGGCGGCGGAGGCGGGACGGCTATTAAGCGGTTATTGGCGGCATCTTCATCCCGGACGTCATCGAACCCAAACGCGTAGCCCCGTTTGGAGAGTTTATGGCAGATATACTTTTCCACAATGTTGCGATTACACTCGTTCGCCATACCGGCTTAATTTTGGCACTTTTATATAGACAGAGGGTTTGTTCTTAAATCAAATACATTATGATCGAATTAGCGCGCTGTACAACGGCACAGGCTTATCCAAAACTCGGCTGCTTTCTAATACATGCAATGCAAAGAGTAATCCCACGCATGGAGCGAATGCTTCGCGATTTGATCAAAATCCCTCGATCACAACTGCGCGGAAAAACGTTTCAAAAGTTACAAATACAAATAAAAGCACAGAGTCCGTGTCAGCAGCGGTCTTCATTTCCCGAATCCTGAAGAGGGACGTTGGCGACCTTCTCTTTGCATTGAAATCCAATATGCGGAAGAGGTTGGAGTAGTGCTGATGTATTCCTGTGCACATCACCACCAGACGTGGATGCTTTGCGAAAGAAAAAACATGAATGAGGGCCAAAGTTGAACGCGCCCAAAGTGGCTTCAAACGCCGCCAACAGCTTTAGCAGCGTTTACGCACAAACCAGGCGCGCGGGGCGGACTGCGAGCCAGACAAGGTCGGACTGACTCCTCTTCCACGATTGCTCCTCATATCCTCCTCCTCCGCAGCAGCAGCTCCCTGCCCACCGCACAGTGCTGCTGGTGAGGTATTCCTGACGTCAGCTACGCAAAGTCATTCCTTTGGCTGCGCTCGGAGACTTCCAAGTGCACACGAAGAACTGCACTAAGAAGAATTAGCAGGCCCCGGTTTCGTGTTAGAACTGTGAAAAAACGAAACTGAAACACACACACACAACTTAACCCAGAAAAAAAATGAACAGAGACAGCCTTGGTTTAGTTGCTTGCCAAAAATCACGTGCAAGGGAAGCTCTTAGAGGATCCTGGTTAATTCATGAGGTTTACAGGACCACGTTATTCTGCTGAGGGGCTGCTTTGATGTGGTCCAGCCACCCCCTTGTGGATGGAGATCGGAGCCTGCTGTACAAAATGTATACAATTTCCCTGTGCTCCTTTGATTCCCTGTCGAGCCTCCTCCATCTGTCCAGCATGTCTTCTTATTCTCTGGTGGGACACGCAAAGCATCCTTTGTTCTGTAAACCGGAGAGCTTCTGCTCTGGAAAGTTTCCTTAAAATGTCACCTCCTCAAAGAGAATACTTAAACCCACAGCCCTCGCCAATCCAACTTAATTAGACTTGACCGAAAACCCTCACTAATCCCGACTATAACAGGAGGCTGTGACAAAGCTCGAGTGATAGAAGACGAGACATTATCTTAGGTCACAAACATCCATCAACACTGACAACTAAATGATGAAGACTAGGACGTAGATTTTTATTTTTTTTTCTTCACAAGTATTTATTTATTTTTCTTATCATGTAAGAAAATAAGACAAAGAAACGTTCCATTTCTCACATTTTCTTTCAATGGCACACAAGGTGAAGGTGTTAAGTTTTTTTTTGGCAGAAAACAAGTAAAAAGCAAGAAAAGAAGAATGAAACCAAAGAGTGCATTATGACTTTCATGTTCAATACTCGTATTAAGTATCCGATGAAGACACCATTAAATAAGGGGAACTAGCGGGACTGTTACAGAACGTAAATCTGGACTATGTTCAGACGTATCGTAAGCAAAGGCTTCATTTGCATAGCTTAAAGGTCAAAACAATGCTTTTATATGGGCTACATGTTCTATCATCTATGTGTTGCTACCTCAAGGTAAAAGACAACTTTTGAAAGCAATAAATGTACAATAATGAAAATCTCGAGTGCAGGACAGTATGCCTTTAACCAATTTCAAATGAGAACATCATCAAACATGAGTCATCCGTTCTCACTTTCATGATTTGGGTTTCTGTGAGGCTACAAAGACCGGGAATTGACAAAACACACAAAAACAATTGGCATTTTACACCGAAAAAGTATTAAAGATTAAGAATGAAATGAACTGGTAAACAATGTCACAATGTTCTGTGGACAGGTCCATTATTTTAGCTTCATCAGTAGTCACGTCTTAAGGCTTAGAATGGGTCCCCACACTGCTCCACATCTTCAACTAACCAACATCGTAATTAATCTCACATAAATGCATTGCATCAACAGAAATTGTCTTAACACATTTTGGCATTCAAATATTGGTGTATTTTAAAAATAATGTTCTGATTTGTATGCTTTGTATTAAAAGTACATTCTCCCCGTTTGTGGTGGACCGAAGGAAGACGCTGTACTTTTTCCTCCCTCTATACGAGAAACGTATGGTAACATGTGTGGTTATTACAAGGTGGGAATAGATATCGTCATTCAGGGAGCTGCAGAGTCCCAACTGTGCATGACAGGGTGACAGCAGGTCAAAATCAGAGAGGCAAGTCTCTCTACCGCTTCGGCATTTATGTAAAGCAAATCTCTAGCGCCCTCACTAGACCTGCAGGGACATGACTCGAACCAGCAAGTCTTGCCCTGCCCCGACTCACACGGCCCGAACAAATGATGGATCCCACTATGATCCTGACTGGCTGGGGTAGCTGAATATGTGCACTGACACAGAACACTGCATGTAAAAATAATACGCTTCTTCTCACATATTTTATGAAGTGTATTGAACAGGTGATGAACAGGTGATTCACAGGTGGAAAATGTATTTACCTGTGCTGGTCTTTTTTTTTTTTGTCTCTTCATCTTTTGATTTCATGGCTTCAACCCAGAGTACCTGCTTTCCGTTCTCGGTTAAATAAGACGGGATGCCGAGAAAACGATTTGGTGAGTTTAATCCCGAGACGATAAAATCGAATGGCTTTTCTCTCCCTAAGGGGGTTTGGCTCAGTCACAGCAAAAAAAACACACACAAAAATATTTTCCCCCGTACTGCGTCTAAAATGTTTGAACATTGCTATTTTCTGGAAATGTTGTATTTGCAATAGTAAAATTAAATTAAAAGAACTGCAGAGTACTGCTGTGTCACATCTAGGCTAGGTTCACACAAAAAAACAAAACATCCCACAACATAAAGAAAACACTGTGGGTCACAACTGGTTTCAAACAAGAGGTTATTCATTCAAAAAGGTAGCTGCTTTGCCAGCAAAGACTTGTGGTATGAAAAGGTAGAGAGGAAGGGTCGTATTTAGTGAACACTGAAATCCCTACACGGTGGACCTAGCTTTGTGATGTGTAAAACAAAACGACAAAAGCTGAGAGTTACTATTCTGGTTTTTCACGATAGCCCCTGGTGGGAAGCAACTTTAAGCCATAATTGGCACAACCGGTCAGACAGACGATCCGTTGCTTTTCCTCTCTGTGCAAAAAACAAACAAAACCAGCACTGTGCAAGTGGAGGCCTGACATCTAGTCAGTGGTTCACAAAGCCTACCTGCTGTAAAACCAGGCCGCGGGATGTTTGGTCTGCCCTCATTCTCTTAATATAAAGCCGCTTCTACAAAGAGAAGCAGGTGGACACGTGAAACTGAAAAGTCACTGGAATGCTCCGAGAGGATTGAAAAATGGAAATGACTCAAGTCTATGGAGGAGTTATGTCACTGGACAAGCAAAGAGTAAACATCTGCCACTTCCTTTCATCCCACCTGTTCATATCAGAAATGCACCAAAAGACCCCCCCCCCCCCCACCTATAGTTGTGGACTTGTACAGCTGGAGGAGGGGGTGGGATGGGAAGGGTGTGGTGGAGGAGGAAGATGAGGAGGGGGGCATTGGGCTGTGACGAAGGTAAGGCTGCCGTTACTCCCTCTTATCAGCTGCTTTCGACTGTTCCCTCTGAATCATGCAGCGGCGCACAATGCTGTCAAAGCTCCCCAGGTAGAAGAGAGCGATGGTCCGAAACAGTCCCATGGTAACGATCTGTACAGAGGTGAGAAGAGATTAGAATTTGGAAATTGCGCAATACTTACAGCATCCTGGAGCAGCGCTGCTTTAGCCAATGCGACTACATCATGTTACATGGCTTTACCTGCTGGAGGCCCTCTGTGATGGAGGTAACGGGTGACATGCCACAGGTGAGGGCTGACAGCATGTAACCATCGGGTCCCACAGAGCTGTTGAAGTTCCCCTGCTACAAGAGACAAGGAAATGACAGGCAGGTAGATTAACAACAGATTATCCATCCACCTAATGTTAAAAACAGGACAAGAAACATGGTGGGTCAGCGGCAGGTGGAGTGTATTTCTTACCACTGCATCCCGAACAATGATTTTGGCCACTTGGTCTGGTTGACAAATTCCAGAGGTTTCAGAGATTAATTTGGTCTCCAGGGGCTATAAGGAGGAGGAAAAGGCTTTATGGTGGGGGGGAATTGGAAGTGAAATTATCTTATCGTACTGTTGATTGTGTTCAAGAGATGTTTACCTTTGTCTTGTTTTCCTGAGCCAATCCCGGAGTGTCAGTGTCAGGGGGGTAGGCCACCGTCACATAGATATTGTATGGTTTCATCTGGAGTACAAGAACAGCAACACTCACTAGTCGTTACGTCAACATTTTCTATAAAAATTCACACCGGCAACTCATCATCCCTATATATAATATAATTAGCTAAATGATTTGAACTAGATGCACAGTGAAGTTGATTTGCGATGCAGCGTGTTTGCTTGGCGTGTAGTTATTGAAGCGCAACAGTCCAAAAACTCACCTCCATCTGCAGCGACTCTGCTAAGCCTCGCAGGGCAAACTTGGACGGGGAGTAGGCGGTGTATCCAAACAAGCCGATCTGGCCCGCCTGGGAGGACACAAACATGATGCGGCCCATTCTTCGCTCCTTCATGGTGGTTATGACGGCTCGTGTCGGGTAAACGCTGCCCAGGTAGTTCACTTCCATCAGTTTCTGTTGGCAACGAGGTCAAAGTTCACACACGGCAATGTCTCGCCGCACATTTATTCCACAACCTCAATGGTGTTGCACAATTTCTCTGAATATACTCATTGCAATTAACCCTTCGCTAAGTCCTGCCCCTCGAAAGCAGAGTGGCCAATCAGAGTGCAGCATTGCCCAGCTCCTATAACTATTCGGCTGAGCTCCATAGTCATGGTTTAACATCGTGTAACAGTGATACTTGTTACCGCTAATATTAGCACATCATTAACTAGGGTTAGCACTTTGAGCAGGTTAACTGAATGCCGACACATGCAGCTTTTGTTTTTCTAATGATTGTAACAGTGAGGAAAGACCTACGCTGCTTTACAGGAACAGCGTTGTTCCTTAATTTCATTGTCTTCTGTCTGGCCAGGTGATGTGGTGGTTCACTTTTACACTGTGAGCTGAAGGCGTTAGCTTCTATATTTATCTTTTTAACCTGTTTTTGCTGCTGAATCGGTTCCATGGTAGCTCTGACAGCTTGACAGAGCAGCAATGGGGGGGGGGGGGGGGGGCGTGGCTTAGCAAAAGGTAAATTTGCATCAAGTATTACCTTAAAATGTCTGACAGTAACAAAACATCCTACAGAACCAGACAGCAATCAAACCTCCAACTTACCCATCTGGTAAACGTTGAATCGGTTTCATTTAAACGTTTTTTAGTACCGTTCACAGTAGCTAATTGGATTCTTACATGAATAAGACCATATACTCCCAGGTACCTACTTTAAAACGGTCCACGTCCATTTCCTCAAACTTGGCAGAAATGGACATCCCGGCACAGTTCACTAACATATCGACAGGCCCCAGCTTCTCTTGAGCCTGCATCACAGAAAAAAAAGCCACTTCAGTATGTCAACACTGAATTATTTAAGGAATCCAAGATGCTCCACTGGCGTTAAGAGGATAACTTCACCTGCTTTATCACACTTTCCACCTGGCTATATTCACTGGAAACATCCACTGATATGCAGAGCACCACCTGAGTAAGGAAATTGTACATGAACTTATGCAATGTCATGCAAAACAGCATCAGCTGTTATGCACAATATCAACACATGTACAGTCATAACTAGTAAGTAAGGTGCTTTAAAACAATATCTGAATCTTTCATTGAAATAAATGCTTAACTCATACCTGTTTGTCATTGATGGCAAATTTCTCCAACTCTTTCTTCGCTTGAAGTAATTTAGCCTAAGGGAAAACATGCATATTTAATCAGTTATAAAAACGTAAGGTTCATAAAACTTCCCTAAATTACATCACGTCAAATCCTCAGAACATTAACAGTGACATGCAGGGGAATTGTTTAACATCAAATATGTAAATGTGGAATTTAAGTGGAGCACATCCTTCACCTTACATGGCACAAATTAACCTTTAGAATATATTGTACTGTGTTTGACATCAAACGCTTTGGCTATGACAACAAACAGGCAATGACTAGGCAAGACACAGAGGGCCGATTGGTTGAATGTGGTTTGTGCTGACCTCATCCCGCGCCACCAAAGTGATGAAGGCTCCTTGCCTGTAGCACTCAACTGCAATGCATTTCCCAATCCCACTTGAGCCTCCAGTCACCTGCAAATCCAAAGGGTAAGATGATCATTAATCAAATGCCAAATATTGGGTAGCTGATCTCCAACTCATAGGCTGGGGGGCACAGGTCAACTGGAAACAAAAATATGCTTCCATAATGAAATAATTAATTTGAATAAATATGTATAATGATGTGCAAGTCATCTGCATAATGAAAGTAAACAAGCTACACTCTGTTGCGCAGTTTATTAGATATATCTAAGACATAACTAGCTAAAACTAATGTAGCCTAATACAACAGGCCAGAGAGTTAGCATGCTGTTGATTCAACTTCCTGGTCAGTTTGTGGTGCTAGTCAACCCTATGTTACATAACCATAAAGTTGACCAGCAACTAAGTTGATTTAGAATCTCAGTTTCAACAAAACTGGATATTACAACCTTCATGAAGGTGGGATATAAAGCGCTAAGTACGTTATGTTTTATCTGGGTGCAGCTTTTAACTGGTAACATTCAGAGGTTAGCTCTAACTAGCACAATTGTAACGTTAACGTTAGAGACCGCTAAATTAAGCTGTGTGGGCGTGTCACTCTGCGTAACTGACAGTTTACTGTCGTATTAAATTCGCACATTCACAAAATATGTTTTTCAGTCTAAAAGTTTTGTCTGGTTATTCGTTGTAACGTTGGTGGACGTACATGACGTACTTTGAATAGTACATAAAGCTAACTTTAGCTATAACGTTGCAGGCTGTTAGCTAGCTACCGTTCCCATGAGTAGGTAGCACTCTTGTGCACTTACCACGACGTGGGCCCCGTTCAGTTTCAGAGGTTTGGGACTAATAAGAGGCGATATCATGTACAGCAGCAACACAAAGGCAACAATGAAGGCAGCGACCACGAGAAGCATGACAAATGGCAGAAGAAGCCACCAGGAATTGATGAAAAGCCAATCCGTGATCGTTGAGCTCAGCCCTTCTTCAGAGGACATGGGGGAAATTTGGCAATCGTTAGCTTGTTTGCTAACTAGCAGGCCAGCGTCTGGGGTCCGATAACGGAGATACGAGGCAGGCCACGGGCCTGAGAGGGGGGGGGTGGCGAAGCACAGACGTCGGAGGAGGAGTTGTTCCGGGGTTTGGCCAATGAGTCAAAAATGTGCAACGACCAGGTTAACGTCCCGCGGTGGACATGGGCCCCCAGTGACAAAGCTCAGTCTGCACAAACCAAAACAAATCGAACTGTGCACCGTAAACGAACGTTTAACGTTCGTACCTGGTACTTGTAGTCTTCTAGCGATCAGTTCATGAGGAATCTAAACGCTGCTTGAGTGTGCATTAACAGCAACTCCCACAATGCAATGTTCCGCTTCCTCATTCGTCGTATCCGTATGGTTTCAGTTAACGCTAACACTACACTTAAAACACGTATGCTTTACATCCAGTCACCGGTTATGTTGACTTATGACAGTGAAAGAAAATCTATTTTAAACCTTAATTAATGAACCTAACGTTTCAAATAAATCGTACATTTCTTACAAAAACGTAAACAGCTTTTCTGGACTTCGCTATAACTTTTATTTACATTATTGAAACAAACACAAAAATTCGTATGCATGAGTGCCCTCTTCACAAATAAAGGGTTCAAGAGGTGGCTATATGTGGCTATATGTATAGACATTTACAGTAAAATAAGCAATGTTCCCCATCAAAACTCAAAAGAGATAATTTGCAAACTTTAGGAGCAAAAGAGAACAGTTGTATACAAACTCTAAGTTTACATGAAATTTGCAAGTATTATACATTTCTCATGTGTAGTGACAAAGCACTGGATATATAAGCAGCATGAACAATTTAGAAATAAACCAATAAAAAATAAATTTGCAGCTTTTCTAGAAGGCACATGGTGCACACTGCTGCGCATGGCTATATAGTTCATGCTTGGAGATGCCTCCATATTGTTAACTATACAAGAAGAGGGTCTCTCAACCTGAACCATGGGTGTCCAACTCAGTCTTGGTTTATCAAAAGTTACGTGACTTTATGTTAACATAAGGCTTAAGTTTTTTGCAGTTTATATTAAGGATAACCAGCAAAGCCTGTGAATAGTAATGAAACATATGTACAGTAGGTCATGAAAATAAACCTCTGAGCTGAGTGACAAAGCAAATTAAAGTTATTGAGTCCTTAAAAAATTATAAAGTAATGCTGGTCCGGCACCATTGGGGCTCCACCCTAGTAGCCGTGTTTAATTCCAATGGCAAGAGTAAACAAATACAAATGTCCTTTGTTAGGAAACTGGATAAACAATCCAACATTTCCACAGGGTCTAATGCAGCTCTCATCCTGAGTATCTCAGTCTCAAAACTCTTAAACATCCACCAACCACCCTGAGACAACAATCCAATGAACTCATGCCCAGCTTCACTCCCCCAGCCCAAGATTTATACAATTCACAAAGTACAGTTCACACGATGCTTGTTTTTTTTTCTCCTTCTTAATAGAAGAATACATAAGGGGCAGTCATTAGTCTAGTGAGGTGTATTCTGACTGGAAGATAAGGACACAAGAAATAGTCCCAATGTAAAATAAATTACCTTGATTTCAATAGCCTTATTTGCAATAATTGTTGTGTATGTCTGCCGTTAGTTTCCCTAAGTTGCTTGGGTTTTCTGCTCATCAATACCTTTAGTTTTTAGTGCTTAGTCAACCAACCTTCTAAGTTCTTTATGTGGTATTGAGTATTTCATCAGGTCAGCTGCAGATGGAAAGTCTTTAATGTTCTTTGGACAATGTTTAATATCAAATAAAACAATGTCCTTCCACCCTTTGCATGGTTGTCAAACCAGCGCAGTAATCTTGTCCACTTATGATAAACCACGTAGCCTGGTGTATGGTTATGATGAGACAGAGAGAGAGAGAGAGAGAGAGAGAGAGAGAGAGAGAGAGAGAGAGAAATGGGACAAGGACAGTAAAGAGAGATAATCACAAATCCTTTGCTTTGGTTTGGCTGGCTCAATCCTCCCACCTAGCCTTCCTGTCCAAAGTCCTCTGTGAATTTTTTCAGTTTGCCCAGATCTTGTTCATTGACTGTTGGCTTCGTGCTGGCCTGAGACCTCAACATGTCAGACTGAAAAGACAAACAGATATCATATAATATTAAAGTAAGGACTCAAATATGCAATTATATTACCATCTAGTGTTTTTTACATCCTTACCATGGACACTATAGGTTCCAATAGCTTCTCCCCAGGTACGTCCATCCATGACATTTCAATTGCGTTGGGGTCGCCAGGTGAGCAAGGAGTCAAGAGGTCATCTATGATAAGGTTGGCATCAATTCTTGATTCACCTCGTACCTTATTTAAATAACAACGTATGAAAGGAAACACAAGTCGAGAATTAGTCAACTGCAAAATGTTAAACTGCATCATGAAACAGAGACAGACATCTTAACAGACGTACCCGTTTGAAGTGGGTGGCTGACTGGACCTTTCGAACAGGCTGCATGAGAGCGTCTCTGACAATGACACTGATATCTGCTCCCGAGTATCCATCCGTCTTCTTGCCCAGAGCGACAAAGTCGGAGTCGGTGAGACAGTTGGGGGTCGTGCCGAGATGGAGCTTGAACATGAAGGAGCGGGCGTGCTCTTCGGGCAGCGGGATGTAGATCCTCTTCTCAAATCTGAGAGTTTCATTGGCGTACAGTCAAGCAAAGGCGAACAAGAACACGGTTCCTAACAACTTTCACCAAGTGACAACAATTACCTTCTTCTGATGGCTGAGTCTAGGGTCCATGGGATGTTTGTTGCACCCAGTACCAGCACTCCCTCATTGTTATTCCCCACACCTGGAAAAGAAAACAGTCAGGGTAAGTGTACACACTTTAACTACTTATCTCATCTAAACAATGATACTCTCTACTTTCATTGACACGTGATGGTCCGTCCAGCTTTCTAAAGATCTGTGACCACGCGTTACATTACTGGGCAGCTGTCCAAACAGGCCATTTACAAAAGCAAGTTACAAAATTATGAATCAAATCGAGACCATTTCAAATCTGCGCATCAGGGCTTTCCCAGTGTTTTATTGCAGATGGGTGCCACCTCACCTGAATCCAAAAACCACCTCCACACACATCATAAAAACGAATACAATTTTTCCGATATTAACTAATAATCTTAATCTAGGGAAAAGAGCATTTTAGGTCTTCGTCTGCACACTAAATTGTTCATGAGATGAGATGTGTCAGGATCCGGATGGCTCACCACCTTTGCTCAGCAAGTTCCTGGGGCAAGCCCCGTTATTGCAAACGGAGTATGCACAAACAAGAAGTGAGTCTATGAATGTTGCGGTCAGTGGGTTATCATCTCATAAAAAAAATTTGCACTTCCCGCCACACATCAATCTGTGACGTCACAGCAGGTGTTCCCCCCCCCCCCTCACCTGTCAGAGAGCATATCTGAGGTGTGACCAGAATGAGCATGCTGAAAAGTTGCAGCAGTTTTCTGCCCCACGTGATTCAGTCATTTAACATTTAAATAGTTCACATTTGGAAATAAGTGACAGGGAGATTTAAATAGAGTCTGAGAACACTAAAAGAACGAAAAGATATTACTCTAAAGGTTTTGCCATTGGACTTATAAATTGAGGGACCCAACAACCCAAACAGTTTAAGGTTTCCCAAAAGTACCTTCTAGTCACCCAGCCAATGCAGCTACAATTGTGTCCTGTGCAGAGCTCAAGTTTCTATGGCGTTACATTTGTGTACCACAATGATTCCAGTGAAAATCTAGGATGCAGAAAAAAAAACAACTAAAAGAAATTCTTCACGTGCATAAACTGCTATTTCAGATCCCAAAGGCTGTTTACTCATTCCCTCAGAAACTATTCAACCCTAAATTGGGGAACATTTAACATGCAGTACTAAGGGATTGCATTGAACTTAATTAATCACAGCATTCAGTCATTAAAAACAACTGCTTTGGCTCGTCAGACTTACCCTGCATCTGAACCAGGAACTCTGTCTTAATACGGCGAGCGGCCTCACTCTCGTTCTCACTTCTTGAGCCACACAGGGAGTCTATCTCATCAATGAAGATGATAGAGGGCCTGTGCTCCCTCGCCAGGGTAAAGAGATTCTTCACCAGCCTAGGAGGTTTAAGAAAGTTTAAGAAATTAAATAGCAACAGGCTGCTGTCTGCAGTATGCTTTTGTGGATTACCGTTAACGGGACTTACTTTTCACTCTCTCCCAGCCATTTGGAGACAAGGTCAGACGAAGAGATGGAGAAGAAGGTGGAGTTGCCCGCCTCTGTGGCAACAGCTTTAGCCAGATAGGACTTTCCTGTTCCAGGAGGTCCAAAGAGCAAGATCCCTCTCCATGGAGTTCTCTTTCCTGTCAGTCAAGCAAAACGGTAATTTAGGCCACATTAGTGTCGACAAAAACAATCGACTGCACCCTCGACTGTCTTCTGTCACTTAAGAGCACAGCAATGAGGAAGCCTTCCTCTTATATGAGATGTCATACCTGTGAAAAGGTGGGGGAATTTGATAGGAAGAATAACTGCTTCTTTCAGTGCCTCCTTCGCGCCCTCTAAACCAGCAACATCACTCCATTTGATGTTTGGTTTCTCCATAACAATTGCACCTGTAAAAAACAACATTACATTTCTGAGGGGTCCAAGTAATACCTGAATTATGACAGACTGCATGTAACAATCTCCCAAAAAAAAAAAAAATACAAAAACATTAGGACAATTAAGTTCATATTAAAAATTATATAAAGCCTGCAGAAGGCCCAATAGTCCTCAAAGGGAATATCACAAACCTGAAAGTTGATTTTGGAACTTCTTTTTCTCTGGATCGTCACCATCATCGCTTTCATTCCTGGAAACACAAACATATAATTATGAAAAAGTATATAATTAATATATAATTTTGTCTACATATCTAGTACATAATAGTAATTTGCACTGATTTTCCATCCAGGTCTGAATGGCATCAGACCGGCTCCACCCATAAACACACCCTTTGTCATCAGACTGCGACTCTTTGACAGGCTTAGTGGGAGGAGCGTTTTCTTTCTTCTTTAGATACTCCTTCAACTTCTCTGCTCTGTCCAAGTATTCAGCACATTTTGCCCGGATGCTGTGTTTAGCTTTGTCACTCTGGGCTTCATCTGTCAGGAACAACAAAAAAGGTACACAAAAATGACTTCAGGTTTGAGTATTTTTATCCTTAAAGAAACATCACCCTCCTCTCCAAATTTCACCTTAAGTGTACTTCGATTGCCATATGAAGCTACAAACAAGTGATCACATCTAACCATTCAAAGAAATTATTTTATGATTGTTCTGCCATCTTCACTGCTGTGAAAGTGTACAAAATAGCTTGCATGTCATTTTGAGAGATATGATGCCACTCGAAAGGTATGTTTAGAATATTATTGGATTGTGATTCCTGTTGTGGCAAACAGAGGTGATTATCAGACTGTGTGGACACCGTAAACTGAATGCCAATGTGCTGTTTTTATGCCTTACATTTCACCACATGGAGGAAGTACTGAACAGCAGCCTGGTAAAGACGCAGAGCCTCCTCGTATTTCTGAGCTTTATCCTCCTGAGCCGCCTTGCTGGCAAGATCAATGGCTTTCTAAAATAAAACAGACAGAACAATGTTAGTTATATTAGCATGTGTAGGTTCTACTGTTGATTAATAAGGAAACAGACAGCTGTGGGAGGTTAATGACAGTGTCTTTGAATTGTCAAAGTGCCAGGACAACATCAACCAACCAAAACAAACAAAATTGACAAATGTAAGCGGGAAATATATTTAAAAGTCAGTCGCAGACAACCTTCCTGTATAACGTTACAGTATACTTACCGTAATGTACTAGCTATAGGTGAAGATCAGATTGAAGCTAACACCTGTCTTGTGTAGGGGACACTACGCACACCGAGGTAGGAGTGCGTGAACCGGAATTTGAATGCACTCTCTTTCACTTCCTTTTATAATATGTATGTAACTTGAACACAATTTGTACAGAATATAACCATAACAGTTTTGCTTTCCATTAGTAGTGGATGTCTTTTCAGAGGCCAAATAAAACCATTTAGCTAACGTTAGCTAGCAACGGTAATCCCATTCGCTAGCTAGGTGTTGCTTTCTACAACACAGGCTCACGCTGTTATACGGCAATAACCACAACCGCATATAAACGTTGCTTTAACCAAGTTAAACTTTAGCTTTCATAACACGTATGGGCCACAATGTCACCTTCCGGTGGTCTTTGTTGTTCACAAGTTGATGCACGTTAGCTAACCATGCTAGTTAGCAGCTAATGTTACAAACGTCACACTGTATTACACTGTCGGAAGCATTTAAACCAAACACCACCCAACATAACAAGGTTAGACGTTTCGGTTGTCATGGACTATGATACTTGTTTTAGGTTAGTCCAATACGTGAACAACTTTGTTAGCTTATTTAGCGTTTTAGCTAGCCCTGGCGTTGGTTCTCAACTTACCTGTAAATTATTGTTGGTAGCCATAATGGCTGATCACTTGTCCAATAATCGAAACGAATGTAACACCGCCGTGAGGAAACGATTTTTAAAAACTCTGCTTTGGAAAGTAACCATACAAGTAGACTGTTAAATCGACAATCGAGTATTTTATGAAGCTTGTTTTCGTTTCTTGTGATCGCCCCGGAGTCAGATCGAGGAGGAAACTTCCGCATTGAAAACTCGATACTCGCGTGCACCAGAATGCGATGACGTCAACGCGTAGCCTCATTACGGTCCAGAGTACATTGGCCTACTGCCTGAAACTATAACGTTTTTCTTTTCCTTTTGCTTGTCATGTGGCGTGTTATGTGGTATCTTTGGTTCGTGGTTAACCCAATAGGCCCCTTACCTTTATGTACAGTCTATGGGCTTAACAAATTCAAACACTATCAGGCTATGAATGAACTATCAACCCTGTTGTTCTGACACGAACAACAGTGATGGAAAGCACCTAAGTACACTTACTCAAGCGCGATACTTAAGAACAATTTTGAGGTACTTACTGCTTTATACTTTCCACTACATTTTGGAAGCTAATGTTGTACTTTTTACTTAAGTATATATATATATTTCACAGCTTTAGTTACTAGTTACTTTGCATATTTCGATTTTTAATGCAAAGTATAAATCAATGAATACATTATGATGTATTATTATAGATTAAGCTACCCAGCAGTATATATAGTAATACAAGGTAGCTCCATCTTCAGCAGCATTAAAGTGATGAACAAATTAATGCATCAATAATTACAATCCAGTTATATGACATATATGATTCTGAAATGGGCCATTCTGCACAATGAGTACTTTAACTTTTGGTACTTTAAATATATTTAGATGCTAATACTTTTTTTTACTTGAGTCTGAATACTTGACTTTTTCTTGTAGAGTATTTCTAGTCTATGATATTGCTAATTTTACTAAAGTAAAAGCTCTGAATACTTCCTCCACCACTGATTAATTATGTATTATCTACGAGGCACTTTAAAAAGTCCACTCATACTGCAGTACATCCATACTGTTGTGCACTTGAGACATTGGTCTGATTTTATCATGATGAAAAATAATATCTATATTTGTAAAACTAATATGATGTATTTAATTTAGGTAACAACCTTTTTATACTCTAGGTACTCCTGTAATTCTTCCACTCGGTCCAGGTACAGTTTACATTTATCTCGGATCTTCTGGTTGCCATCTTTACCCTGGGGTTCACCTGATGGGGAGTAGAACATTTATTTAATAGCATTCTGTAATGTTATCGATTTAAACTATCTATCGTAACAAGTCATAAGGATGACACAACTTAAAATTGGCCCAAACAAAAAACATTAATAGCTGAGTAATTTCAAGCAATTAATGTGATGCACCCTCTAGTACAGACTGTTAGGATGACCTGAAATGTCTCATTATGTGACATAGGATGCATTTAGTTTCCTGCCGTAGTGACGCACGTTTTACAATATGCAGAAAGTACTTGACAGCATGTTTGTAGGAGTGGATGGCCTCCTCATAGTTCCCAGCCTGGTCTTCCTCTGAGGCCTTCTGTGCTACAGCAATAGCTTTCTGAAAGAGCAGGAATATTTCAGATACTATCATATCTTATGCTTCTACTCAAATCACTTCATGACACATATTGGCGTCCTATAAACTGCATTAATCTGCTTCAGCCAAAGCAAAAGTAATACAGTAGCCTACAGTGTTGTTGTTATGCTAATGTCGGTTAGTACCATATTATATTATTATTACATTACAAACAAATCATAATAATTTCTAAAAATTCTCTGGAGCTGTAGTGCTGAAATGATAAATTGACTGAGTATTCCACATTTGGTATTCCAGTCATTTCAGTAAAGTATTGTGTAGTAATATACATTGTTCACAGGTGTTTTGACACAATACCAGGGCCCTGGAACTGATGAACTAAAGTTAAGTTAAGTTGTTTGTAGTGTCATTAATGACGCTTGTGCTTTGAAATGTCAAAATCTCTACTGTGAAAAAGGTCTCTCCCAAATATTTGCTCATTATCGGAGTAGATGGTCAATCAATTAAGTGTGTGATACATTGTATAGTTAGTTCAACTTTGCCACCGATAATATTTGCTGTGATCAAATACTTTTAGCATCTAAATTGCTGCAGAAACGTTTTCTGTGTACAATATGGCTACTCAACGTTTTATGGTGATTTATTGTGTTAAAACAAAGTAAGAGAAACCTTATGACTCCAAGTGGAAATTAGTTATTTATAATAGAAGAGGATCTATGTGAATCCCACCGAGAATACCTGCTCTTTTTGACCAGCAGAACAGAACCACACTGCATATCAGATATCTAAACCAATCAGATCACAGATAGAGCTTTGTGTTTGCTCACTGCTTATTAAAACATGTAATGACTAATCTCGCTCACTGCCTTTAAAATCTGTGGACTTGATGTGAATCACTATTTTTGGTCCATGATGTTCAGTATTGCAGACGCCGAAGTATTGACGCAAAACGCTCCTGCATTCAAACGAAGAACTGCGGGACACTTTGAATTAATCACACGATGGGACTGAATCCACACGAAGCGTTGGTCAAAGTGAAACCCGTCAGATCACATACCGGGAATAGACTCGGTGTTCGTACCTACACTTCACTTGTTACACTCCATCGATAAAGCTTCCAGTCTTTAAGTAATGTATTCATCCTACCTGTAGAGTTGTCGGCTCCATGAGGAGACTCCTGGGAATCAAAACACAGCTGATTCAACCCGTGGTGCCCCTCCAGTCTGGTTTCGTTTACCCAGCCGTCTGTCACCGCGCAACAAGTTCCTGTTTGCTGATCACTCCCTCAACAATGACACATGCGATCGAGCAAAGCAGCCTGCCCAGTCCAGAGGAATGGCAACGATGCTGGAAAGAACCATCCTGCCAGTGAGTCAGGATGCGTTTTGTTGTCGAGCAAGTTGCAAACACAACACAAGTTGCTGGACCTGTATCTTTTTTTTTATTAATAACCCAAATAGAAACAGCTGTTTCAGAAACATGTACACTTATTTCACTGAGAATCATTTTTGGGACTGTAGAAATAACCAACACCAACACCATGCATACAGTAGGACAGAAAAGAGTCGTTTTAGGTGCAACACAATATAGCAGCTCTTCTTTCTAAAGGCCAAGTGACGTGAAAAAAACGGATACTTCAGGAGTGTGCGTGTGCGCGATACTCAAATCGACTTCACTGATGATTCTCATGTGATGACCGTTTTGTCCACTGGAGGTCGCCCCGAGATCACTGTTGAATATCCACGACGTGAAGAACCTGCAAACCCACTGGTGGGCTACTTCCCAGGTTTGGAGCTCATCTGAGCCTCCTTTAAGAGGTGATACTATACTTTTATATTAAAACTTTTAGAAATATATACAAATAAGATATTACGAATAAATTTAAATATAGATTATACTGTATGTCTATGGAAGCCTCCTTAACAATCCTCCATATTTGTCATATGCCTGGACAATTGCATTTTATAATCAAATTCTAACATTTATTGCTTTTGTAACTAGCAGTCATTTCCAATTGCCTTTGAATTTGCAGATTATTTCTCAGCGTTACTATATTGCAGTGTCTATTTCAAATGGCACGCAGCAACATACAAGCGATTCCTTGAACGACAATTGTAAAATTATAAGGTTAGAAATAAGTTGTCGACAAATATCTGCACATAAAATACGCTTCAGCCCCATGTATGTATTTCAAACTTGTAGTTCAGAGAGATTTTCCATGTTAAAAACGAAAGCGACGAAAGAGGCGCAGCGTGGAAACGCAGGATAGGAGCCCTTTGGCCCCACTCAGTAGATTAGCCTCGAGCTCGGACCATCGACAGCCTGACACCTGATAGCTCCAGTGTGGCGCACAGTTTGGTGAGGAAGACGGGGGAAGCTGGCGTCGTTAGCGTGGAAACATGCGGGGGAAAGAGGGCGCACCTTCAAGAGCAGAAGACCAAACTTAAAGCGGTGTCATTAGCAGACGCGTAGTCCTACAGAAAGAGCCTCGCGCGTATAACTCGCGCAGCCCCTTTTGGGCGCATTTCATGGAGATCTATAGATGACAAGACCTGCGCGCTGCGGGTCGCTCTCAGGCATCTACAGGGATCTCTTATGTGGAACATGGCGAGAGGGATGAGAGGAGCTCATCTCCTCGCTGTACTTTTTACCTTTTCAGTCACGCTTTTCAGGGACGCAGATGGACAAGGGACTTCTAATGCCTTGAGAGGTTTTGGTTTGAATCCCCCGTACTTCAACCTCGCTGATGTGACCAGTATCTCTGCCACGGCAACCTGCGGTCAGGATGAGGCTGGGACACCGAAATATGAATTATACTGTAAGCTCGTCGGTGGACCGAACAACGGACCTCCTACTCAAAATATACAGGTAAGAAAAAGCTGGATGCGATCTCACTAAAGCTTTCGGTCCGCGCGCAAAAGGAGAATAACAACAACATGCAGACACTGCAATGGTAAATTAAATTGTGGCTGGATACACATAGTGAACATTAGGTTGTGTAAAATATATCTTAACTTTTGAGAGAACACACGCCAAATGTAGCTGTTTTTATGAATATAGTTCATTCGAAATGTTTGTGCCTTTGTTAAAGCTCTGACTACAGCTGCCAGAAATAGTTTTGCACCATTGTAGTTGAGTTTGCTCAAGAAAATACACTTTCAAAAGTGGTCTAGTCCCCTCAGGAGTTCCTCTAAGGGCCCTGCATTACAGCAGTTTGGCATGGACATGTCTAAACTTAAGATTTGCCTGTGGTTGCAATATTTTTCATAATTGCATTAGGTTAGTTATTTGCCAGTACCTGCCTCCATTAGCCTATATATCATGCATGTGTCATGCATGTGGGGGTTTTCTGCAATTATTTGGGTGTGCATGTCTCTGAATACCAACACTTTGACACCATTTAGGGTCAGTTCTGTGACTACTGCAACTCCGTCGACCCCAACAAAGCCCACCCGGTGACCAACGCCATCGATGGGACAGAGCGGTGGTGGCAGAGCCCTCCTCTCTCCAGGGGAGTGGGCTACAACGAGGTGAATGTTACCCTGGACCTTGGGCAGGTGAGATTATCATACTTTACTCTGCTGTGAGCCGCTGTTTACCTGCTGCAGCCTGCAGTGTGAATGATGATCGCTGTGTGGCGACAGTAAAATATAGCACCTGGATGTTTTAAGAGGGAGGGGAAGGAAGGTTTTCTGCCTTATTTATTGCTCTGCTGCTGTGAGATGAGTGATGCCAATTGTGGGCGCAATGGCAGTGTCTTTGCACAATGTTCTTCTTCAGTGCTGTGTTTTGCTGCTGCTCGTTTGTTTTGGATATGCTGGGGAGACAGTTGTTTGACTCATGGTGTTCCATTAAAAAAGTATTCCAACAGGAGTTACACGATTATGTTTTTAGTTTAAGCTTCATCACCTCAGCCATCGGTGATCATGTGAATAATGTCCCGCAGCTGGGTGCTTGCCAGGAATCAGATTCAGGGCCTCTGTGGCCGTTTTATACGCTTCCATCATGACCCGGGTCTCTGGAAGGAGTTTGGCTCACGGTTAAAACATTGCACCTCACGCTCAATTATCTAGTGGGAGGAAAGAGAGGAATTTCGTTTTCTGGATTGGGGCTCAGAAGGATGTGAAATCAGATTCGAAGAGTGTAAGGAGGCCCATAGTAGATATAAATAAGAGAGCAACAAAAGAGCTCCCCTTCACACGTGTCACATCTTTGGCTCCCAGTGGGCGCTGTGTCAGACAATGGATGTTGGCTTTTGTATCTCTATTTTTAGGCCGACTGAGCTGAGCAAAGATCCTACATGGCTAAAGATAGTCCACACGTACAAGAGGATGGACACACGTAGGGCCTGTGGGGATGTCTGCCTAATACGTTGTAATGCTCAGTTTATTTGGGAGCCGGGGAAGTAGCATTATTGTATTATTGCGTGCTAAAAAAAGCGCGGCTTGATCTCTGATGGTGACTACCAACCTCACGACAACCTGCCCTCCCTCACTGCAACACCTCAACCACCCACACACACACACCTGTCACGCACATTTTTCTCTTCATGGCATCTGATGCTACCACCATCAGTGCTCACCTGCCATCATTGCATGCCATACGGTTGTTTTAGCAATCAAATCGTCTGTGAATGGTGCAGAAAAAAACTGACTAGGTGAGAAAAAAGCGTGGCATGCCATGTGGGGGACAGATTTGTGATTTACTAATAAGAACTTTATCAGTTGGCAGCTTCGCAACCTCTTTTGTCTCAAATCAACAAACTCAGCATTCAGGCACTCCTCTGTAAATTGATGAAAATCCCCTGAAATGAGAGAAAAGAAACACAGATTATGACAGGAATATCACTCCATTATTTAGACTGCTAGTATCTGAAATGGTTTTATATTTGAAAGGAGATTTTTTTCTTCAGACATCTTCCTGAGTTTAATTAAGTATTGTATTTCATAACACATCTCATGTATTAGAGCTCTCATGTTGTTTGAAGCTTTGTTAGCTTTGTCGTTTTTTTTTTTTTTTCTTCCTAACCACAGGGTAAATTATGTTTTCAATGAACTATGTGGGCTTGACCCAGCTGAATGGGTTCTGTGGTCTCTTTCAACACCAACGCAGGTGGCTGTTCTGCTGCTTTCTATACGGCTCTGATCAGAAGTATTAGATAACAGCACAGTTGATGTTTATGTTAAAATGGTGAGGTTCAAAGAGAGAGGCCTTTTTGACAGAGCTGTTTCCGGTTTTACTGTATAGAGGATTGTTTGAAGCAAGGTCTGCAAAGCCTAATCTAATCTGACTAGAAGTCTGTCAGATGAATTGCCTTGAAATGTTGTACAGACAGACATTCATTGTCCCCAGAGGATGAATTCTTCCGACTCTGGTGATCCCCTGACTTTACTTCTCGCACCACCATGAGGTTGACATTTTTGAGTTTTAGGCAGACGTTCATGTCCCCCACAGGATTAATTATAACTTTGTTGTTTCCCTGACTTTTCATCTTGCTCCATCATCAGATCAAAAGTTAAATTTGTCAAATACTTTGGTTTTTGAATAAAAACGAATGACTTTCCCAAATGCTACCACTTTGTGTTTCGGGCAAATGGCAAATATTAACATGCTAACATGCTAAACTGAGAGGACCTCATGGTAAACTGTATACCTGCTAACCTTCAGCACGTTTGGATGGTTATCGTGAGCATGTTAGCATGATGGTGTTAGCATTTACCGCTGCCTTAGTACTGCCTTACAGAGCAGCTAGCAAGGATGTAGACTTAGTGTTGTTTTCATTCAAGCTACTTATCTTCAAGTCTTGGTGCGACTTTCAATAACCAGCCCAAAAGCTTCTAGTTAAACGATCACTCTCTAAATCTCCTCTTGATAAGCCCTATAAGCTCTATGTCTATGGTTAACTGCTCCCTGTTTTTGTGACTTCTTGGCTTGTGACCCGTGACCCGTGACAAATCCTACCTTGAGTCAGGAAATGACCTCAATAATCTTCAGTTGGCTTCCGTAGAGAAAAATATGGTGTTTGGCATAAATGGCTTGTTTACTTCTAGAGGAATTGGTCCAAGATGAGTGCATTTGAGGTAAGAAGATCCTATCTTAATTGGTTTTGACTATAACAGCTTGCCTTGAATGGGTTTATCTCTCATTTTGTTTAGCCATAGGTCAAGAACCAGTAAAGCATTTCTTGTCCATCCAATTATAGATGTATTCTGTGTCCACCAAAATACTGGCTACTCTTCCAGGAACTTTTGCCCCTGTTAAAATATTTACAGCGACAGTAGGCAAGCCATTGTTCTGGTAAACATATACACCACATATCAGACGGCCAGTCACTCCTTTTTTCTGGGGAATGTATTTTAGGAGCCCTGACCGCATGTGCTTATCTGCCTGAGTGAGCCCAGAGTAGACCATGTGAGGCAAACATACCAGGGCTTACTGCTTGCTGCCCGTCTCCCATCTGATGAGACTGAGCTGCTTGTGATTGGTCGGTGTCAAACGCTGAAGTTCTGATTAGTTGCTGGATTGATGTTCAAGGGATTTAACTGGCATTTTTATATGAAGGTGAAGGCTGTGGATTATTTCTGCAGGCCACAGGTGTTCATTGTGTTGACGATGTGGTAGTGTGTTGTGTTTACTGTACTGATTGATTGCTTGTTGTTTACCTTGATTTATACATTATTTGCTCTGCGACTAGGATTTTGGACATACATGCTTTTCATTTTGTAGGGGACGTGAGTACGTGCAAGAAAATTGACCTGATCTGATTCAGGTTAGAGCAATGGCCTCGTCACTGCTTATAGTTCTGCAATCGTCAAGAGGCAAAGCTTCCAAGAACTCAATTTTAGAGACATTCCCCTGGAACCTAATCCCCCCCTCTCAGGGGTCCACCTCCCACTGAAGTTGGGTTTGAATGTTTTATTTGCAGCCGTCGCCCCCTTTTGTGTTAGAATCCTTCTAGGCGGTATTGTGTGACATCCTTTCTGTGCTCTCAGACTCTCACAAAAGTTTGGTTCTTCTCAAGCCTCCCTGAAAGTGACCTAGCCCTCTCTTTCCACCCGATAAATGGATAGAAATGGAGAGGTGGTGTAATTTGATGGTGAGAAAGTACTTAGACAGAAAAAAAACCACACAAACACTCAAGTCTCAGACTGAAAACATTCCACTTTCCCTCGTATTCTGCTCTCTGAATGAGTAGACATTCAGACACAACCATGTATGATTCTTGCATGTGCACTTGCGTATTGCTGCATCCCTCCGACTCCTGCAACATGTGGTTAGCAAATATGTTGAGAGGCTATAATCCTAATTGAGTCATGTGTTTTCAATATGAGACCTGAGACAAAGAAGAGATTCCCTTGCTGTTGAAAATCTAGCTTGTTTTGTTGTATATGCTCGGTGATGAAGGTTTGTTCATACAGTGCAGCCGGCTTAGTCCAACCCCAGAGACAAAATTGTCTGTCAGACATGCCCCCATCGCTGTAGTGACGATGGAGGTGATGTAAGCGCCTGTCTTTAGCCGGGCTGCCTGAGGCGCCAGGCCAACCCAGCAGCTATTTACTACTCCGCTAACAGCCACCTCTTGCTAGTTAGCGGTATAGCAGTCTGGCATCACGGGTGACGGTTGGACTGCAGTTCATCCTAAATCTGGAGCTCAGATGTGGAAAAGCTTGTGAGGGTTAACGTGACATTTATTCATCTCTGTAAGGCTTTGTCATCAATTCATACGTGGAAAAGCTAATCAGTGGTAACAGGTTTACTGACGCAGGCATTGATGCAATGGGATGTGTTAGAGAGCAGGAGGTTTCCTGGACCCCCATGATAGGGCTCTTAATTATGCGAGCGGTGGAAGTACTGCATCGGTACAATATTGCAATAGTTTCCCACACATAGTGTACTGAAACATTTCAATGCTGAAAACCTATAATTTATGCTTAAATTTCAATGTTTTCTCTTGAACCAATTGTAGCAAATATTCAAAATGTATTTGAGAGTGACTATTGCAAACAAAAATGGTAAAAACAAAATTTCCCGCTGGCTTGTCAGTTCCTGAAAAACCTGAACACAACTAATTCTGTCATGGAGACAGAGAAAAATACACCAGACTACCCCTCTCCCCTTCCAGTGCCCACCTGTTGCACACAGACAAACAGTTGTACATTGCATTGTTACCAAGTGGAGGCCAACTGCTCCACCCCACTGGGCTGCAGTATGCTCTGTCTGGCGGGGCTGATCCACTTTTAACAGAAGGTGATGCCTCCTCTCCTATGAATTGCATTCCTCTGATCTCACATCGGACTCTCAGGGGCTCGCTCTGATGGCTTCAATCTGTCAGGATTCTGATCTCACTGTAGATTTAGTCCCCTTGGCTCGGTGGTGCCCTTTGGGTGGAATTTTGGGGTCAGGATATTCAATATCTGCTTCCTGACTGTCCTTGCTGAAAATCTACTTATTGATGTTAGATTACTGTCTTACATCTCCTGTTTATAATCAGATAAGATTAGATATAAAGTCTAAATATTATGTACTATGTCTATATACATCTCAACTACGCATGGTAGCATACATCACCTGCTATTAAAGCAATAGAATGATACTAGAATTAGAGCTGTTCCAATACTGATACCAGTTTGGGAACACCCTACGATGCAGCCTAAAATACTGGATCGAGTATCAACAAGTATATAAACCGCACCAATATTACATCATTTATTAGCTCATTCACGCTACACACTCATGTCACTCACTATCTGATTCCGTACACACTGCTCGGTCTATTGACTAGGCACATGCAACTCTTAACAGAGACGAGAAATAAGAAAGATGGCTTACGTGTCCATTCATGTTCATGTTTTACAAAGAGTTTAACCTGAGGCCATACAACAATGACAGCAAATATATCACATCCACACAGGGTTAGTAGTATACAGCTGTTAAATAATATTAATAATATATATTTTAGTTTTTGACGCACTTGTACCTGATTGGTACTCGGTATCGGATGATACTCAAGTTCAAGTATCGGTATCAGGATGGAAATAAATGCTATCGGAGCATCTCAAGTTAGAACACATGGATTATGAAATAAACAAATAGTAATTATTGCAGGCACTGTAGTTTCTGATTGAGAGGGCTGTGAGAAATTCCTAAGCCGTCCATTTCTACAGTACACTTCATTTGATTAACACAAAGAGATTATAGGTGAAGAGATCCACGTGGCAGGCACGGCAGCAGTAGAATGTGGCAAAGGGTCACGCAATCAGGCCTTTTTTTCTTCTTTTCCTTTTTAAATCTTCGGTTTGCCAGTGAGTGTGAAACACTCCTCCACAGCTCTACTGCCTGAAATGCAGGCATGTATGAAGTGAAGCAGTGCCGCTGCTGCAGCTCACACTTAAGGGTGCACATTTATCACTCTTGAGCTGTCACACACACACACACACACACCAACTAGGCATGAACTGTCACGGGTCAATAATCCAGAAATGATAACACACACGCAAACACACAGTGGGCGTGAAATGTCAGGGTTCAACAGATTTAGGAGTGTGACTGCGTCTGTTTTGTCTAAATTCATTTACACTTCGCAACAAGAAAGGGAAAATGTTAATATGCTGTTGATACAATAGCGTTTAGTCATGGGGGACTTTGTTGGCGGTGTTGCCCTGCTGTTAATTAGAAGATTAGAGGAGGTCTGGAGACTTTATACCTTGTATATGTGACGCTATTATAGGAGGTCAAGGTCAAGAATTTGAGATGGGGGGGGCAGAGAGGGTTGGTGTCAAACAGTCCTTACCTGGCACAGCTCAACCCCTGACCCTTTTTGACACCCACTCACAGCCTCCTACACTAACAGCCTCCTGGCATGACACTCTTGTCTAAAGCCCGATGCTGCAGATACCTGGGAGGGGCAGAGGATGGCTCTGCTCAAGTGTTATTCCAAGTGTTTTTGCCACAAGCTTGTCAATCTGTTTCATGTCTCTCTACGCCACTGGAGTCCTGCACTGCAGCGCTTAGCATGCCATCATGATATTTCATGCTCCCTGCAAACAATACGTAGGTGCTGGACATATTTCAAGAGTGTGTGTTTAGACTGGCAGGAAACAGTTGGAGAGACGGGCCTGAAATTAAGCGACGCCGTGCCAGGACAGGCCCCGACTTCCAAGATCACGCTGTCTGTTTTTCGCTGGGTTTGTTTCCGGAGAGTTCTTCTCACAAAGACTCAGTTACTGGCATCAAGTCAGTGTTGGCAGTTCCCCCCCAAAATCAAAAATACCTATTCAAGGTCTGTGGATTATCTTAAGTAACCAAGTCATGATTTCTGGCTGAACTGTTGCTTTAAGTAAAGTTGGATGCAGGAGGTTTACGTTACTCTAGAGATCACAGACTTTACACAGTTTTCATAGGAGTGAGATTGAATAAGAGGAAGCGTTTGGATTGCCTATTTTGGTGTTTTCAGATTAAATCAAGTAACTTTAAAAAAATATATAAATGTACAGTGTACACAACATTGAACAATATCACCATTAATATATATATATATATATATATATATATATATATATATATATATAATATATATTGTTGGTTGAATGACGCGCAAATGTGCCAGTAGCTAACTCCACAAATCCCCCGACAACACACATTTTGCAATCTAACTGCAGCCGAACTGGAACTGATAAGCGGCATTGTAGAACATCTTGTAGTTACAATCTTTATGTTTACTCATGACAAGTCGTGGAGATGATTTGCACTGCTGTGCATTGCTGTCCATGACAGGTCCCTGAAAGCAGTGGCATGCTCTGCGTTATGGGCATTAGGAGGGAAGGGGAATGTGGCGCTATGTTTGGAATCTGAGATGAGTCGGCATGCCAGCCAGCACGTCTCTGGCCACCCCCAACCCTCTTTACCCTCCCCCCCCCATCTCACTCCCCTGCCTCCCTTTCCCCCGGCCCTGCCTTGATGTCATCACAGCCCGTGTGAACAAAACTTCCTCCTGTTCCTCAGCAGAACATTGATAAAAAGGCTGCTCTTCTGGAAAAGATTTGCTTCTGTTTTTAGTTAGATGACAGCCCACTTCTTGTTTACGTTCCATGCGCCTGAACCCTTTTTTGCACATCCTGTTGCATGTGGGTGGAACTGTTTTCTGATTAATTTCAAAACACACCTCACTCAAAGCTGAGGTCAAAAAGAGGCATTCTAAGCTATTTTTTTTACTTAAAGATTGTCATGGTTTTGCTCAATGACTACAGGGATTACAGGGCATTCAGAAAGGTTACTGTAGGCTCTTTGCTACCGAATGATTTTGTTGTCTGTTATTAGGGATTGTTGAGTTTTCAGAGAAAAAAGCCAAACAGTTCCCCAGCTAACCTCTGAACCCTTTCACGATCCATCAACCCAAGAGCTACTTGAACTTCAGGCCGATACGCTTCAGGGTTGGGGGGGGAGAAATCCATCAAGAAAATTGTGGATCCATCTTGACACAGTCCATGACTCTTTACTTTGCTTTGATATGAGTGTTAGCATAGCTCGCTGCCTCATGCAAGGAGAGACAGCAGCCTGAATGTTTCAAATGCCCGCTGGGTTTTTTTATCAAGGCGTTGAGGGATGCTAGACGAGTGTGGGCTTGCCTTCATCGTCCCTCTCAAAGAGAAGACAGCCTATAGAAATTTCTTTTATTTCAATAGCACACAATATTCTACACACAGTTTCCATCCATCACTTCAATCCCGAGGGAAGGTACCATGGGTTTAGCATGTATGCCTACGGCACCCCGTTTTTGAAACATGTCATATGTTGCTTTGGGATCCACGCCAGAACTGAAACTGCACAGAGGTAAACTGTGTTTCAGCCTCATGAAAGCAAGACAAGGGATGTGGTGGTCAGGCGTAGGTTAGGCTTTCTGTTGACACTGCAGGTGTCACATGCAGGTTGGTGTCACAGGGTTTGAATTCCAAGCCACGCCAATGCCATGCCAGACCGTAACAAAGAGAGCTTTGACTACCCCGAATTACCTTTCCATTGAACAATGTTCAATCAAGTCATCCCGGTGTTGGGGCTTGATGAGGATGTTGATGAACTGCAAAGGAAACATACTGCTCTGAGCCTGACAGAAAGCTCAGTGTTGGCTGAAACAATCATTGGCATCAGGTTCTGCCTTTGTATGGACTGCATATTCTGATGAAAGGTGGAGATAGAGAGTTCAGAGAACAGACGTGAATCATGTCGGCTTAGCTGATGTCTTTTCACTAACCTGGCTGCACCTGCATCACTTTTATTGACTCCATGCTGACAAATGTTGGTGAATTGTTTGCACTTTGCTGTACGGCCACACTGTTACCTGCAGGAATAAAAGCTCAGATCGGGAGGCCTCGGCCTTCATCCAGTGTGATGGATGAATCCTCATTAAAGTCATTAGATCCGTGGCGATCGTTTGCAGAGCTACAACAACCACCGAGCTGATGTTGTGCTTTCGCAAGAAAGGAAATGACAGTCAGTGCTGCCGGCCAAGACTGGGGACTTACTCTATAGAGCAAGTTAAGCACAGGAAACTACAACATAATGCCAAAATCCGTTCAGAGCAGTGACTGCTTTTTGTTTAGCCTGTTCTTTGTGTTCTGCTTTTTAGCTCTTCCATGTGGCGTACGTCCTCCTCAAGTTTGCTAATTCACCTCGACCTGACCTCTGGGTGCTGGAGCGCTCTGTAGACAACGGGAGAACATTCAACCCCTGGCAGTATTTTGCACGTAAGTTCCCATGTGATTGTCTTTTTGCAGTGTTTTAGATTATATGTCACAAAAACACAGATATGGAGGATTAGCCTGTTTTTGTAATAAACAGTTGTGAAATCATAATTAGCAGATTTTGTTTGAAAATAGGCCTTTTTCATGGCAGACATTTTGACTCTATATAAGGAAATGCACAGGTGTAACTAACAATGGCCCACTAAGCCATGCCAGAGATCCATCATGTGGAGTGCCAGAGCCCCGGAACTGGCACTGCTGAATGGAATGCAGACATTATTATCGCTATTAATCACACCTGTGTCATTCCTGCCATGACAAGTCAAAAAAAAAAAAAAAAGACCCATTGTGAAGATGGATTAAATTTGTTTACTAGTGCACATTTAATCCTGCCACACTGATCACCCTGCTTAAGTGTTTAAGAAGTGTGTTTGTTTTGGTTGTGTGGGGGGAAAAAGGAAGTCAGACCAACAGAACATTATAACTTTAAATGAATTCCAGGATAAATGTCAGGCTTGAAACCTTTATGCTTTGGGGGTAGATTTTGTGTAGAAAGTAGCAAGTGGTGGCACGCAGCAAATGTTGAGCCTAATTACCTGGCCTGTAACGTCATACCATTTCTAAAGCACCTGAACTTCATACCTGAATATGTGCTCTAGATTTGCTGAGTTGGCACATCTGAGCTATGATGTCTAATGTCCGGGAGGCACCTGTGCACACAGATTGCCAGGAGACGCAGCTGTTACTCATCAGATTAACAATTGCAGAGTTTCTCTTTGCCATCAATTTTACTTGATCCAAGTTCATGTTCATGCACAGACAACTCTCATGATTCATTCACTTAGCTTCAATGCTTTTGAAGGCTTTGTTGTTGTTTTTTCAAGAACACTGGATGTTACTCTTCCTACAATCGTCTGATTAACAATAGTACAAAAAAACACACATTACATATTTTACTCTGAGTCTTAAATATCAGATGTCAGAGCTTCAGGCAAAGCACCCGAACACAACGTGTTTCATGAACTAGGGGCATTAAAATGGAAAATTAATGGAATAAGGGATTGAAAGTTTTTTTTTTTTACAGATTCAAAGCGCGAGTGTATTGAAACGTTCAGAAAGCAGCCCAACGCTCGTATAGTACACGATGATGACCAGGTCTGCACCACAGAATACTCACGGATCGTCCCTTTGGAGAACGGAGAGGTATGATATCATATTAATCTAAACCAAAATTGCTACATTTTACGAGGTACCAAAAATAATCCTGTGGAAAAAAAAACGTTGCGTTGTCCAGATTGTGGTGTCTCTGATCAACGGTCGGCCGGGGTCCAAGAACTTCACCTTCTCGCCAGTGCTGCAAGACTTCACAAAGGCCACCCACATCCGCCTGCGCTTCCTCCGCACCAGCACCCTGCTGGGCCACCTGATCTCCAAGGCCCAGAGAGATCCCACCGTCACACGCAGGGTGAGGCACATACTGTACAACCTCACACAAAGGTGTCATGCTGACAAGACCCTTGTTTCCCATTTGGGCAAGCCACATTTACAACTCAGCAGCACCTACCCTACAGCTTTCTTTTTGCTGACACAAACACACTGGCATGGTCCCTCCTGCTCGCACATTCATCCTTGTCAGGGCCTCATGGCAGATCTGTCTGTCCAGTCATCATGGTAATTAATTTCATAGAGACCGCTCGGACTGGCGTGGACAGCTCCACCAGGTTGCAGGTGCACAACACAGCACTTTTACAGCAGGAGAATATATGTTTGTAAAAAAACTGTAGCATCAGCGTAGTGAGACTAAAGTTCATGTTTCTTGTTTTATGTTTCTGGAAGACTTCCAGAAATGTATCCTCAAGGTTCATGTCCAAAACGGCTCATTAATTTCTCTTTATTAGACATGCTGAGACTAAATCAATGATGTCAACCATTGATTCTTATCTTATCTCTTTTTTATAATGCACTGATTCACCCCATAAAACTAGCCTTAGCTCAGGGGTTAACCAGTCAGCATGTGTGACTCACTCGCGCTGCCAAGCAAAGCCAGACATTTGTTCCGGTGTGGGTGATGTTACTGAAAACACTGCTATTACTTTGAAACGTAGCTGGCGATAACATTTTCCCTATTTGACAGTATTACTATAGTATCAAAGACATCAGCATTGGTGGACGCTGCGTTTGTCATGGACATGCACAGGTGTGTGCTGGGGGGCGTTACCAGGACAACCCAAAGAGGTTAGTAATGCGCTTCATCGTGAGGCTATAAATACGTGACTCAATACTTTTGTGTGGAAACGTCTGGTTGAATTTTCATCACTCATTCATTATAACCTGAACCGGTTCGCTATAAACATTTTAAAAGTCAACTTTGAAGTATAACATCAACCAGTAAATCCATTTCATCTGTTTGTTCATTAACTGAGCTGAATACTCTTTTTGTACAACGGGCCCCGTTGTGTAAACAGTGTACTGAGATGACTGAATGCTGAAAACATAGAGGCAAAGACCACAGAGATGCTGCTAATCTAGTGATTTGAGTGATAGTGAATTGTTTTTGAGGAAGGACAGTTACCTCATGTGTTTGTACATTGACGTCACCATTGTAAAGGTCAGCAGATCATTTTAGTTACTCTGTTTACTGGCTATGATGTTGTAAATAGGCAGGATATGTGATAAAGTGCTGCTTTGAACCACTGCTGGCCTTTGTATTCTGAACAGCCAAACAACAGAACAACATAGCATTCATTCATTGGGTTGTATTGTTTGCTATCAACTAGGGCATTTTAAATGAATTTTCCTGTTGGTGTAAAGCTACTCCTATCAATATTTTTGTATTAAAAATGGATCAAAAACTATGTATAATATGAGACCAAAACAGAGTTATCAGATTGTCTGAAACATGACTGCTAATGTTGTTGTGTCTGCTGTATAAATAGACATGCTTGCCAAAACAACTAATGTAATAATAATAATAATAAAACACAGAAATATAAATACAAGTACTTAAAGAGCAATGTACAAATTGAAATGGTAAAATCTATAAAACCGACTAAGACTAGAATCATTGGCTCAGCCTAATAAGGTAATAATATGTCAGTGCTGTGTTTACAGCTTGTTCTGCTGCCCCCAAGTGGTTGAAAAAATACATTTTTACCAGGTTTTAAAGAAAGCTCAGAGGTTTTGTGCTTGCAAATTATAACTTTAGCGTCACTAAATCCAGGTGTCTCATCTCCTGTCTGCAGACTCCAGTGTGAGTGCCAACACAACACCTGCGGTGAGTCATGTGACCGCTGCTGCCCAGGCTTTAACCAGAAGCCATGGCGTGTTGCCACTGCTGACAGCCCCAACGAGTGTCATCGTAAGTGTGCACGTACAATGGTCCAGTCAGTGTGTGAGCACTCTGCTGGCATCTTGAATTACGGCCCCCAGAGTGGACTGAAGTGTCCTCTCGCCTCTGATATTTAAGTTGTGGATGCCCTGTTATGGTGTTGTAGAGAGCCTCAGTGAAGAGTTGAGAGGACATTCCTCATATGGCATGTATAATGAACAGCACAGTGCACATCTAGCTCCAGGACAACAGCTTTTTATCGTCAGCTTAGCCATCTAGTCAGCCGGCTAGCCAGGGCCGCGACTGCCTACCAGAGAGTCTGCCATGCCAGCTTATTGGCGAGCCATCCAGTCAGCCAGGAGAGCCCGTGTCAGCTGGAATCTAATTGCTTTGGACTGTCGACAAATTTTCCCTTCATGAAAAATGACCTTGTAGCAGCCACTAAAGAGAGAGAAAGATGAAACAGACTCTATAATCAGTGCACTCTTGCAGTGGAAATGCACCCTAACCACTTATAAACATTAATGAGACACAGGGGTTGTATACAGGAAGAGGATGTGCCTTCTTGTTTAATTTGGATTTTATAGTTTCTCTTCGTACTTAACAGCCAGACTTAAAACTCCTTTTTGGAGAATGAGTAGCTTAAGGTGCTCAAATACAGGCAGGGGAGGTTATTTGCTGAGGCATATAGAATAATTTTGTGTGTGTGTGTGTGTGTGTCTGTCTGGGGGGTTTCCTCCATAGCCTGCCAGTGTTTCTCCCATGCCTTTGACTGTTATTACGACCCAGAGGTGGAAAAGAGGAGAGCAAGTTTAGACACCTTCGGAAGGAACGACGGAGGAGGAGTGTGCATCAACTGTCAGGTATGAAATGCATGTCAAGTCTAAACTGATTCCTGTGTGTGCATGTGTGTGGTGGTTGTAGGGGAGGAGGGTATAAATAAGAAATGTCCATGTTGTGTGTGTTGTGTGTATCTTCATCAAGTCCTCTGGGACATTTGATGGTGCTCCATTTTTGGTTTGTGTGGCCGAAACAACCTTTTTTCCATTTACACACTTTGCTCTTATTCCAAAAAATAGATTTTTTCTTATTTTCTTTGGTCAAAATAAAGTTCATTGAGCATTATGTTAATATGATATCCCTCCAGAATATGATACAGATGCAGAGTGTATATGAAACCATTGTGTCCCGTCAAATGTGCATTTTAAACAAGAGATTGTACTTTGCAGAGCATAGGACTCTTGTGCTCATCATTTTATTCCTCCTGTTCAATTATGTACGAGTTGTGGCTCACACATTATTTGTGTGTTCTCCTTAAGCACAACACTGCTGGAGCGAACTGTGAGCGATGCCTTGAAGGTTTCTACAGACCTTACGGAGTCCCTCCTGAGTCTCCCACTGGATGCATACGTGAGTAGCGTTTTCTGTGTTTGTCCTGTTGATTTATTGTTACATTAAATTGCCAGATTTTCATTTTGTACCTCTAGACATATGGACGTGGAAATTATATTAAACAAATGAGAGTAGAAATTCTTCAGATACCAGTTCACATCAGTTTCTGCAGCTGCTTTAAATGATGCAATGAAAGCATATTACGAAGATATAACTTGAACTGTATATGTCCAGGCTACAGCTGTAGCCGTTTGGGGAATTGAATGATGTCTCACCATGTATCTGCAGTATGTATGACAAACAAGCGAAGCCAAAACAATGCTATATTCAAAGAGAGGCGTCTTGTTTAAGACAGACACAAATGCCAAGCACCACTGGCACCAGTGCTTGTATTATTGCTATACTGGGCTCCACTCTTGTTTACATTACTTTAATGGTCCATGGCTTCTCCTCACCACATAAATAGCTGCCACTTGTGTTTGCACATTAGAGTAGTGGAATTAAACTGGTTTCCCTTAGCGCTTTGAAAAGTAAACCATAAAATCCACAAACTCAATTAAGTCATCTTTGCAGAGGAAGGATATTCCTTTCGGCAAAAGTCGAGTCAGTAAAGGTTCAGTAATTATTATTTGCTTCTGAGATCTCTCATTTTTTATGCTCTTTATTTGTTGAATTGTGAGCCAGTATAGTAGTTTCCAGAAAATAATGGAAAAAATGATTAGTATCAGCTTTATAATAGCTACTGTATATCCCTCAAACCCCACCCCCTCGATCCCAGTATCTCCAGTAACGAATGTTTTCTCAAAAGCCAAGAATCTTTGAGCTTTTTTTTTAAATACCTTAATCTTTGTGTGATTACCCCTCAGTCTCACTGACTGAACCGGCAAATAAATGCAGCAAATGTTTATTAAAACAATAGAATAACAAAAAAGGTTTCAAGATTAATAATGCTGTTTTCCGCTAAATGTGTGTTATGTAACTAAAACAATTAGACAACGTTTTTTAGGTGGCAGGAGTGAAAATAAGTAATCTTTAACATTTGTTGTGTTATGGTTTCTGAATGAGGAAGACAGTTTGAGAACAAAGTAGAATGTAGGCCTTTACAGGATTTCTTCTTGTGGTAACTGTCATGTTTTTCCCAGATGATGTACAGATTAATAGGCTTTCTGTTATTAAATGGCATGAAAGTGGGGAAATCATCTGAATGTTAACAACATCAGGCTTCACCCCTGGTGTGCACTGCACATTTGTCAGTAAATGTTAATTGAAAAAACAACAACATGCGACCCGACTAGCCTGCAGGTGTGACGAAAGGACTACAGCCGGCTGTGAAATGGAGTCTGGAAGGTGTATCTGCAAGCCACAATTTGCTGGAGAAAACTGTGAACGCTGTGCGGACGGATATTATTACTACCCTCAGTGCATTCGTAAGTTGTTTTTTAGTTTTTTTCTCTTAGTACATACTGAATACCCAATTCACCTTTACCTTTACCCTTACCCTTGACCCTTTGACTCATGGACAACAGAGGAAACGTTGATGAAATGATGTGTCTGTGTTTGGGAGCTCAGTGTGTACACAGTCAGGTGAAACTGAACCCAATCTTTGACGTCTGGAATCAGTTTCATGTTCACCCTTTTCTAGCCTTTTGTGTGTCAGTCAGTTTTCCCCTTGAGGGAAGTATGCCTTCGATGCAGGAGGATGTATGCACATGCTACAGTATTGACTAACATGCCAAACCTTCATCCAAACAAATAGACTCAGATATTAGACACGCTGACAAGTTTCCCAATCTTATCTTAGTCTGACTACAGACTCGGGAGTCTGCCAGGGCGTAGAGATAAGCCACCCAGCCAGATTATAGTCCTTATTAAGAACTATAAAACTATAATCTGCCCCCCCCCCAGCATATTTTTTTTTCCTTACGTCATATAAATGTGAAACGAATCGTAGAAAAATCTGACTTTCTGCATTTTATGAGCAATAGATAGATTTATTACTTGAAGTTATTATTAAAACTGGGTCTCTCATCACCAGACTGGAAGCACAGACAAACTAGCCTAAACACGCTGACACAGTCATTAGCAGGCTGTCTGGGTTTCAAGAGATTCTTCTCTGCTGTTTTGTGTCACTATAGGACATTTCTACAACTTGTGTGTGTGATACACTGGATCCAAGTCGATTTGGTTTATTGCTAGTAGAAGGCGGTGGTTCTTTACATATAGCGATCACAGTATTAAAGGAATGTTTTGGCTCTTTTTTTATTCTTTTATTCATTTGACAGGGTCAAAGCATGTTAATGAGTCAGTGTAAAACACAAGATGTAAACATGCCAGGGTTTGCAAGATTGCAAAGTTACATCCATAGTAACAAAAACAGAAACATTACACTTTAGGAAATACCCTTACTTGCTTTGTTGCCCAAAGTAAGATGAGAGGATTGATATTTCTCTCAAGAGAATGAACGAGCATATGTATCCCAACATGTTCTTTAACGATGTTTGACTCTAACTGCATTGCGTTTTCTTTGGTAGGTTTTTTTTTTAATGTGAATTTTAAATAAAAGCAATTCTCCACTGCAATGAATAAAGTTGGCACTTGGGGTTTTACTTGACTTCACAGTTTTCCATCAGTGGAGGTCTTAATTCTGTGTATTTCCTTTTCAATCAGGATATCCCGTATACCAAGCGACCACCCAATCCCCTGCAGGACCTATTGTGGGTAAGTTCAATCAACAAGACTTTGCAGTGTCTCGTACCACAATTTAGCTTGAGGGATGTCTTTAAACAATCATTACAAATGCTGTTACTGTTGATCCTCCTTATTTCTCCCTTTTCCTTTCTCTCTTTATAGGGCCCACCGCTTGCCCTCCTGGTTTTTTCGGCTCACCCAGCTGTCAGCGTGAGTGTGATTATACCTGATATGTTGTGCTGCTGTAGAAGTGTTTACACGGCTATGCTATGATTGCTTTTTTTTGCTTCTTCTCATTTGCATTCACTGTATCTAAAAAAAAAAAGAAGAAGAACAAATATCTGAAACAGTATCCTCTTGAAGAGCTTTTTTAACAGACACCTGAGTCACATTTACTTACAGGCAGCCCAGGTTGTTTAAAAGGACTTTAGAGGACCATGTAAGGCACCACTGGTTTTCGGCAGAGTTAAATGTTGAGAACAGCAGGGGTCAGTCAAGAAAGGCTTGATGTATGTAGGCCCGGCTAAAGGTCAGATAATGTTGGCCTTATAAAAACAGAGCTGGCAGTTTATTATCATTGGGTTTAATGGTACGGTTGAAATACTTGTATGATATATCTGCTACTCGGTGACAACAGAACTCTCGCAATTGTTGAGCAAAACACTCTGATGGTCCTAAATTATCATGTCCGTCAGTGGGGATTTAAGTTCAAGTGGTCGCCGTTCTTTCTGGATAGCAACAGTCAGTTGGGACTGTGAGAACTAACCAGTCTATTATTAGTTATGGCCCCTGTTCTAAATTCCCATTTCTGGTTGCCTCTAAGCTGGGAAACCCATTTTTAGAAATATGGCATTTCCATTAAAACAAAGACCTTTAGCCCCGTCTTATTTATCGGAGAATGTAGGCAAACAATAACTCCTGTGTGCTGACTGAGAAGGAATTTTATCATCAGCCTTCCAAAAGCTGATTGTAATGTTTTGGAGCTGCTTAGGGACAAAGGAAAACGGTGGCAGTCTCTTTGGTGGCTGTCCTGTCTTAGTGCCAAGTCCATTCACATACCAATACCAGGGGAAGCTTGGCAAGACGTGGGCAGCAGTGTAGCCGTACCACTGTGTGCCACAATATGAGAATAGTTCAACCGACGGAAGTATTTGTCATTCCCTGTAATTCAGCTGCTGGGCCGAGAAAAGAGCTCCGGCTCATTCACAAGCAAGCTTCAGGGTGCAATAGGGCTGCTCATTTGAATTTCTATTAGTTAGGATTTAATTTGGTTACTTTTATTGTTAAAATTAACATTTTTGTTTGTGCACAGAGTGTATATGTGACTACAGAGGGACAGCGTACGGGGTGTGCGATGCTACAGGCCGCTGCTTGTGCCGTCAGGGTGTGCAGGGGGTGCGATGCGACCGCTGTCCACCAGGATACCACTCCTTCCCAAACTGCCAGGGTGAGATTCAGTGTAACCCGTCTGAATGATTATGAAACATGACCTTTATTTTTCCCACGAGATTTTAATGTTGAATGTTTTTATGTATCTTTAAAGTATTTTAAGGAGCCCTGCAGTCCTATATAGATGAATGATCGATTATTTTGATTCTAAAGAAGAATAAGGAGTGTCTAACTGTAAAAATCTGCAATCACAGCAGCTCACAAACTCTCTATCTCTTCCTCCAGCGTGTGCCTGTGACGGGGCTGGTGTGGCTGACAGCGTGTGCAGTCCAAGTGGCCAGTGTATTTGCTTTCCCAACTATACGGGCCAGGAGTGTGATCAATGTGCACCGAACTTCTATGGATACCCCGACTGTGCTGGTGAGTGGCTTTGATCCCTCTATGCTCTCTAGTGTAACTACGACAGATACACTGATTGGGTGCATGTGATCTGACTGCTGGTGGAAAAAATGTTGCCGCTGGTTTCACTGGGCTTACTGTGGCGTCTTCTCTGTGGAACAAACATGCTCATTCTCCCACAGCATCCCCTGCTGTCATTTATTAATTTATTAATGTATTCTGCATGACACAGCCTTTTCACAGAGTAGTGGAGCATGAGAAATATATGGACTTCTTCCTTCTAGGGAATCACATTCCCAAGAATAGACAACTGGGAATCACTGAAGGAAATCACATTATGGAAAAAAAAAAACAGCAGTTTTTTTAAACCCTGTTTTCATACCAGATTCACCTAACCCCTGTGATGAGAACACTTACATTTCTTATAACTTACTTCAGCTTGTTTCCTGTCCCCAGTCTGTCAGTGTTCACCAGAAGGCTCATATGGCAGCATATGCAACCCACTGTCGGGTCAGTGTCTGTGTCTCCCAGGGGTGGTGGGTCAGCAGTGTGACCGCTGCGCCTCTGGACTCAGGTTCCCCCAGTGCTCAGGTAACCAAATCAAGAACCACCATACTTATGAATGAATGTCATATTGGGAGCATCAGTAAGACCAGTTGTATTTAATGCAGCAGGTCCAGAAATGTCCTATTGTTCAATGAATCATTTTTTCACATGTAGATAGTTCTCTCCTCATTCACTCCTAATATAAAACTATATTTGAGCCATGTTTGATAGTCCACTGCAAAGAGTAACAATACAATTTGCTGATTTACTAATGTTTTTTACTTTGTTGTGGATTCATTTTGTGCTTCCAGCCCCCATCAGTGTGTGTAACCCAGCAGGAACAGAGGTCACTGATCCTCAATCGGTATGCCACTCTCAAAAAACTTTTTTTGTCTACCAAAGTCCAACTCTGACCATGTTTTTACTAGCCTTGATAACAGCAGTGGTCACAGTCTAATTCCAGTACGGGGCCCGTTGGGTGTTGATTTACATTACCTCAACGGTGTACAACTGATAACACAGCTGTGCTGCTAAAACGTCTTCCAGCAGATTTCATAAGGAAGTGTTTTGTTCTGAAATGTAAATGCAATTACAATAAAGGAAGAGAGACTTCCTTCCGTTTTTGAAGAGGAAGAAAAACAATAAGTTTCTGGAAGATTGTCACCTCCTCTATTTTGGAACATGTGCTATGTTTGAAAGAAACCAACATTTCCAGTCATTCAGAAAACTGGTACTGTAGTTTAATATGCAGGCACTTTGAATTCAATCAATCAGATTTCAAACAAATATAGCTTTTAATAGCAGCGACCAGTTTCAACAATCCTTAGGTTCCGTATCTGTTTTTTCAGGGCTCCTGCCGCTGCCAAGCAAACGTAGAGGGAACCCTGTGTGACAGGTGTAAACCTCTCTACTGGAAACTAGCAACAGACAACTCTCGTGGCTGTATAGGTAAGTGACCGGATATCTAGAATGGAAAACTATTGACTTCATTTTATCTATGGTGTAAGAAAATACCCCCCAAAAAAAGAAAATACTTAGTTGACCCTTTGTCAGCAAAAAGTGTCCCAGTCTTATTTTAGTCTCTTGTATTAGTTCTGATCCCTGACCACATTTTTTTCCCACTGTCTTAAATCACCAGTCGCAATCTGACAAGCACTGATAGGGGTCTTGGCCCCTCTTACCCAGAGGATATGTCAACATTACCCCTGTCAACAAGGCCGGATCGGCCTTCCTGTCCCTCTAAGGGGAGCTGAGGAATAACACACAAATGCAGGCAAATTCCTGTTAATTGATTTGAGTGTGGAGCTGCAAGTGAGTCTGTGAGATCTCATGTTGGGACTTTGCAGTACCCAGTGGCACATTAAAAACAATACCTCTAGACTTCTCCAGCCCCCTACAAAAAAATTACTCTGTCCTAATCCTCTAAAAATACTTAAATTTGGGGAATAATAAGGGGGCTCCCAGTTTCCAGCCGGTGAGGGAACAGCTTCAGGCTTTGTCCCGATACTTGTTTAATGTTACAGAACAAGAATGTTGCCACTACCGCACTACCTGAAGACACAAGACAGGGGGGTAAAAAAAAGAGCTTTCAATATCCTAAGAATGCTTCTGGTTGAGTGACCGGACATTAAGGGGAAGTTTTATTCACTGTGTTGAAAGCAAGTTGTGGCCGTAAAGCTCTCTTGGAACTTTTATGTGCAGATCTCTGAAGATTGTGGGGTTTTGTGCCGTTCTGTTTCACCCATGAACGAGACAAAATCATGTAATCAGAGTCTATTCACTGTTTATCCCCCTTTATGCTTTCATAACCTCTCCCCTCTCACTCTCTGTGTGGCTCTCTCATATCTCATACCAGAGTGTCGGTGTGATGTGAAGGGGACCCTGAGTGGCGTTGGAGAGTGTGAACAGGTGGGTTTTTCATTGTTACTTGCAGTGACTGATACACATCCATTGATCACATCGTGAATCAGATTAGGTTCTTATCATACAGAGTTTTGACAGAATGGCTCAGACACAATTTTATAAAATGTAATCTGTTTGTCTCTCAATCTCCTGATTGTCTGTTTGTTTAGAAAAGTGGACAGTGTCACTGTAAGCCTAAATCATGTGGACATGCGTGTGAAACCTGTAAGGATGGATACTTCCTGCTGCAGAAAAAGAATTATTTGGGCTGTCAAGGTACGTTATCCGTCTTCACCACATCTCACTTACATAGTATTCTGTTAACTATGTTACTATAGCAAATGAATAAACATGCTGGCTGTTACCTTCAAGACTCCACCGAAGGTTTTAAATCAGGTTAACCAGAAAACCTCCAGCGGTTTAACCTATCATCTTGTTGCAGTTATATTCAGTATTGGTGTACCCATGGTGCGGTCAGTACGCTGTGACGTAACCGTTGGGGGTGGCTAGAGTTGACACACACTCCAAACTTTCAACCAGAGAAAGCAGGGAGACTAATTCAATCATGACTTTTTCTTTGCCTGATAGGTTGCCAGTGTGATGTAGGTGGTGCCATTGACACGGCGTGCGATGAGGTGTCGGGACAGTGTCGGTGTCAGAAGAATGTAGTTGGCCGTAAATGCACTGAGTAAGAAGGGGCTGTCTTGAATGGCATGATGGTACATTTCCACAGGATCCGTCAGTTCGATGTTTCCCTTTCATTGTCGTATGTAATTTATTCTGGTAGCGCAGCGCTGTGTTTCGAGAGATGGGGTGTCATTTGCATAAAGCTATCCAACTTTATGCAAATCAGGGGCATCCAGCGCGACTTGCCGCTTCTGGAAACTCCCCAAAAAACACGTTTTAGGTATCCGTTTTCGATCTAAAATGAAGACAGATTCAGCAACTACGTGGTTTATTTCATACACATTTTTCCGTTTGCAATATAAGAGAAGAGAGTTTCCAAACGAGCCGCCATGTTGGTCCGGTTTGAAATCAGGGAGCTGACAGTCCACGAGTGAAAGCAGTTGTCCAATCAGGTGTCAGCCCATCAAGCATCCAATGTTGGAAAGCAAAGCGGCCACTCCTGCCAAACCCCCTCTGTGGACGCATACTATTAGGATTCAGGCAAAATTTGAGCTTGCAATATATTCTCTTTTGCGAATACAACATATTTTTCACAAACATTTTCATGCACCTTGTTAGGCCCGCACCAAGCTACTACTTCCCCACTCTGCACCAACTGAAGTTTGAGGTCGAGGAGGGCACCACGCCAAACGCCAGACCAGTGCGCTTTGGTTATGACCCCCAAGAGTTCCCAGATTTCAGCTGGAGAGGTTATGCTGTAATGTCTCCTGCACAGGTGTGTACACATTCACGTCGGTACCTTGATAGATTTGATACACTGATGAGAGTCCTCTTATAATTTACAGTGTGGGCAGTTTATTTTTGGGACTCTCTGCCACTTCAATAACCTTATAGCTTTCTGATTTCAATCTATTCTGATGCCACTATGATTGTTTTGCTTTTACCTCTGCACTGATATTCCTGCTTCAAGCACACAACCTCCTATTATATCAGAGCTGATGTGGGATTGTGGACACCGGCTCTCTTAGAACTAACACCATCTCTCTTCAGCCGGAGGTGATCCTAACGCTTACCCTTGGCTTTCCTGGCCCTTTCCATATTGTAATGCGCTACTCCACACCCCAAAGAAAGGGGAGAGCACGAGTGAGAGCGAGGATCTTGGTGGTGGACGAAGCCGGCTCTCAGTCTTGCTGTGACTGTAAGTGAAGAGCCCGCCTTCATTTGGCTTTATGTTCCTCTCTTCGCCTTGCTTGCTGTCTGTCGATTAACCCGCTCTGTTTGCTGGAGTTCGCTGCCCACCTGACATGATTTTTAACCTTTCTCACAACATTATACACTCATCGCTACTCAAACCAAGGCGGTCAGCTATGTGTCACTCTCGTCCCTGCAGAGTGAAGTCAGGGTAACAGTGCATGTTGACCGAAAAGATGAGAAACAGCACTTATTCCATGTGGTTCTGCGGTTCACTAACCCGAGCAGCACCAGTGTGACCGGTAGCATCAAGGCTACCAATAACAGAGGCACCGCAGGTGAGGCTGCCTCAGCCCTTACATTTCATGTTCATTTCATATCATCGAATCTAACTCATCATTGATGAAATACAATAAACAACCCATCTCCTGTATGCCATTCATACGTAAGCCGGTGCGTGATGTGTCCTATGCTGATGATGTTCCCCCCTGTCATCTGTGAATGTGTCACAATACAGACATTTCTGCCTGCTTTTCTTCAGGGTCAGATCAGAGTAAGGAAGTGATATTCCCTAGGAGTCCCTCCCCATCCTTCCTCACTGTTCCAGGAGAGGGCTTCGCTGAGCCCTTTGCGTTGACCCCTGGGACATGGGTCATTCACATCAGGGCAGAGGGGGTTCTGCTGGTGAGTTCATGATGAAGACAACAATGTAGAAATGAACTGGAGTCTTACACTTTGTTCATTTGTTCGTTGTAAACACTAAAGTTTATTACACTTTGTCACTCCAGGACTATTTAGTGCTGCTGCCCCAGGATTACTATGGGGCACCTTTGCTGCAGGAGAAGATCACCCAGCCCTGCACATACTTACCCACTGCAAACAAGGATGCAAAGTAAGTCTTTAACTTTCTCTTCAGTAATTCTGAGCCATGTCTCTATTTCATATTCACTAATGCATGACTGCATGACGTGGGTCGGTTTTGTTTTTACAGCCATCCATATACTGCACACACACACAGCTCAAGTTTACAGTTATTGGCTTGGTTTCTTTACATAACATCATACATAACATTATAGATCCTAAGTCTATAATGTCAAATATGAGGGGTTAGCTTGTACAGGTGTTTTTATGGCTATAATAAATCATAATATACAGATGTTTTGCAAACGCCTAAGGAGAGAAATTACCTCATTTTTCAGTACTATGCACTACATTAGCAGAAAACATACAAAATGGATAGCAATCAAAAATGCCTTGCATTAACATGTACACAAAGCAATGTTCTAATGATGTGTGAGACTTGACTTCCACATCAACTAAAACAGGATGGTCATGTAATCATCACTCATTATTCTTGCTGACTCTGCCTCTGCCTGTGTGTGTGTGTCTCTGTCTCAGTTGTCTGTTGTATAAGCATGTGGCCATGGATGGCTTCAGCTCTGCACTGGGCTCACAAGGAAAACTCACCAGCCGCAGCGGGCGCAGGAGGAGGCAGGCTCGTGTGCGCCGGCCCACCCCAGATCACCCTGAGATGGCCGCTCTCAATGGCAGACAGGTAGAAGGCCGGGATACGGAGCTTTAACCCGTTACTACTGCATTCAGAGTTTGGTTTCAATATGGTACCTTAAATCATGAGTAGGCTGAACCCAAAGCTATAAAATAGACGTTTGGCAGGTTCTTATCTGCTGTTTCAAAGTGCAGAATAAAAGCAGATGATTGGGCTTTTGGCATCGGGACTGTGGAACTACTTCAAAATTAGCTAAGGCAAAATCCTTTATATCACTAGTGGAACATTCTTTTGTAATCTTTTACTAATTGCTTTTATACCTCCCTAAAGTAGTTTTTATCGGAGTTCCTTAACATAAACCAGAATTACTTTGTATGATCTGTGTCCTGTAGTCGCAGCTCCAACTCAGTCTGCGTGTGCCTCGTCCTGGCCCATACGCTCTCGTCCTGGAGTACGCCAGCGAGGTGGACGCTGTCCAGAATGTCAACATCGTCATCAGTGACCTATCAGGTGGCCAGATCCCAGCCAGGGCCAACATTTACAGTTGTGCCTTCAGGTGAGTCTGTTTTTGCATTTGTTGCTTCAGCTTCTCAAAACGTCGTTACAATGGGATAAAAGTTGTTCAGCTGTTGTGTGTCTTTAACCCCCTGCAGCTTCTTGTGCCGGAGTGTGGCAGTGGACAGCAGTAATACGGTGACAATGTTGCAGCTCGCTCACAAGACAGAGATTCTTCTGCAAACTTCCACTACATCGTTCCTGCTGGTGAGGGAAATGTTTCCACAATTTATAATAGCTCAGTATCTAGACAGCAGTTTAAAACACATTTGTTTCTTTCCGTAGTATAAAGTTTATGCAGTCCCTGCAGAAGAGTTCTCCACTGACTATGTAGACCCAAAAGTACTGTGTGTCTCCACTAATGGCCGCTTCACTGAGGACAGGTAAGTCACATTGAATAAACCCCATTAACATTAATCACACAGAAACCTTTTTCAACAGCCATTAATGTAAGCTGTAATTTAGGAGATATGCTACAAGATCAGACCTCCGTGTTGTGTTGCTGTTTTGGATTATGGAGACACACATCTGTTTTTCAGGTGTGATGGCACACAGTCCTCCAGCTGCGTAAGGTCATTTACCTGAGGCTGAACTTTAGGTCAAACCCTCTCTTTCTCTCTGTCACACTAAATTTACTGACTGCGTTACAGCTTCACAGCTGTCAATTTGCAGTCCTGTCATTTACTTTGTATTTAACCCTGAACGGTGTAGAAAAAAGCCTTTGAAAAAGGGAAAAGACATATGTCACAAAAAAACTAATTATGGGAATTGATTTGAAAGCAAAAGTAAATATCTTTCCTAAGCTTAAGATAACATACACATATGCATGCTTGAAAAAAACTGGATGCAATGACGTGTTATGTCCATGCCTTTAAAATGTGTTTGTTTGCTGTTGTCTTTGAGTGGTTCTATGTTAATTCACGGGTTATTCAAGTAGTTTGTGACACATTTCCAAATTCACAAAACATCGCTTCCATACTTACAGAATATTAAATATCTTCTGGAAAGCAGAGAGTAAAAGTTGGAAACATTTTGACATGTTAGTGTACCAAAGCTTTCCTCGGACACGTGTGTATGTTTAGTGTATGATGTCAGGATGACTGCACATTGATGAGAGAGAGTTGGATAACCAGAGGATTTAGAGATTTAAAAAAGGATTATTGGAGATAAATATTGTTTTATTGGTCACTGATCCCTCTCCGAACCATAGTGACATTATTCTGCTACAATAACACCTGCTAAACACTATCAACAGACTTCAAATCACAACGTATTGTTGCTGTTTACTGTTTCCAGTCGGCACTGCGTTCTGAGGCAATTTGACAAGCCGACCTCAGCCTGGATTTTATATGCTGCCCGTGATGGACAGCTATCTTCGCAACCAGCTGTTTCTCCTCAACGCGGAGAGAATGAGGATTGGAGACGGAGACGACAGATCGGGGTGTTCCCCGTCCGTGAACCTCAGAGTGATGGGATACTGCTTAAATTCCCTCAGGTCAAAACCTTGTTGAATAATTTGAGCTTTTGTGGACTTTTAACCTGCTGCTGGGAGTTGGAGACATTCAATGAGCAACATCTGCCCTGATATTAATTTTCAATTTCACGACGACTGTTTGACGCTTAAGCTTCCTCCGTGTTTTTTTTCTAGACGGAGATCAATTTCACTCCGAAGGTGCCCCTCCCGGGCACATATGTGGTTGTGGTCCATTATCACCAGCCTGAACATACCTCGTTCCCCGTTGAGGTCCAAGTGGACGCAGGGCGTGAGTGGAAGGGTGAGTGCGTTAGAATAAGTGGTAGGCTGATGACCGTTAAATTAAATTAAATGTAAGAGTTTATTGGCTCCCAGTGGTCATAAGTGTGGTTACTCAGGCAGTGAGTGGGAAAGCTTTTGCAGTGAGAGGGGATTCCTCCTTTAAGAGCCGATTAAGTCCCTGTGTTCACGACAAGATGATCAAAGGCCGTGGACACACTTCCCTATATGGATTTGGTGTTGAGACGGATTATTGTGCAGCATGCTTGCGATTCTTCCTCTTTCTCTACGCAACTTCAACTCTGCTTTTCTCTTACAGGTTCAATAAATGCATCCTTCTGCCCCGCCGTCTCAGGCTGCAGGGAGGTTGTGATCGCTGATGGGCGCATTGCCTTCGACTTTGACCAGAATTCTTGGCCCAGCATCTCTCTGATCGTGCCACCTAAGAAGACACTTATTCTGGTCTGTGGTCAAGTCTAACACTGTCCAAATTATGTTTAGCCACTACGTTAAATGACAACTCAATTGTAGACAAATTTAAAAAAAATGTTAGAGATACTTCCGTGTAAAGTCAGCATGTCTTGTGAGTCGGTCTGTGTTTTGTACTGTAGTTGTTCAGACTACTTGGCATACTGAGGTCCTCCCTCCTCAGTGTTATGCCATATCCCCAACAACAACAATGAAGGGACTGTATTCCACCTGGCAGCCGCACACAGTTTTCTAAAAGCTAAAAGCTAAGCTCCCAACCTCTGTTGGGCAGGAGCTGGTTGGGCTCTGCTTGCCTGTTGTTCACTCGCATTACTTTCCCTTCTTCTGAGAAAATGAAGCAGAAAAAGATGTGGCTAAAACAATTGAAAACCTCCTATATCTGTTTATCTCTCTGCATCATACTGATGTGAATATAATGAGAAAAAAAAAAAAACAAACTGGAAGTTTCTGGTGAGATTGTGTGATTTTATCATTTCTAATGCTTTGTGTCTTTTGTGTAGGATTATATCTTGTTGGTTCCCGATAGCAGTTACACCCCTGAACTTCTGAAAGAGAAGCCGCTGGATAAATCTGCAGATTTCATACAGCAGTGTAGAGGAGAAGGGTTCTATATTGAGTGAGTATCCACCACGTCTGTAAAACAAGCTGGACTCCAATCCATTTCAAATGGCACTTTAAAGCTCTTCTCTCTTAAAATGTGGGTTATATTGATGCTTTGTTTGATTTTTTGTGTGCAACAATGTATTTATTCACCAGTTTTACAACAATGAACGGCACAGTAAAAGTTTTGGGAAATGGTGCCCTCTGGCTGCGATAGTGGAGTATACAATCACATCTGTATTTGAAAGAACTCCTATTATTTTCCTGTCCCATCAGCCAGAGAACCTCTCCCCAGTTCTGCAGAGACTCTGCCCGCTCTCTTGTAGCAGCCTATAACAACGGAGCACTGCCTTGCAACTGTGACAAGTCCGGCTCTACCGGGACCACTTGTGAGCCAGTTGGAGGACAGTGTCCCTGCAGGCAGCATGTCATCGGTCGACAGTGCACAAATTGTGCCACAGGATACTACGGCTTCCCCTACTGCAGACGTGAGTGAACGTTTGCTTCTGACTTGCGCTGGTTAGAATGTGAGGACCATACTTAGTTTAAAATACATTTAACAAATACCCTCTATCCCTCCTGCAGCATGTAAATGTGGCCGCCGACTGTGTGACGAGGTGACAGGACGCTGCATCTGCCCTCCTCAGACAGTCAAACCTGCCTGCGATGTGTGCCAGGGTCAGACTTTCAGCTATCACCCATTGCTGGGCTGCGAGGGCTGTGAATGCTCTCCAAATGGCATCAAAGCCAACGCAGGGCTTGACTGTGACCTCATCACCGGACAGTGCAGGCAAGTGGAGACCTACGAAACTTCAAGGCTGCGCACTTATTGAATTTGGATGCTAGTGCTTCATAGTAAGAATATTAAATTAAACAGTGTTCTATACATTATGACAGTTTGTGTATTAAACCAAAGATAAAGGATGTAAAAACATGTATTGCCATGTTACAGAAATTTTTCGTGACTGAAATCCAAAAGGTTCTTGACATAGAAATAAAAAATCTGATTTGACAAGAGAGTTTAACAACTTCAAAGACCAGTCAGTAAGAATATGTTTAAGCCACACTTTGGAGGAGCATATATATACAGTATATAAAAAAGAAAAAAAGAAATCTTGACACTTTTTCCATATTACTATAAAACACAATAAAAACCTATGTTTCTGTTTTCTATTCATGTTTCTTTAATGTTAACTATGGATTTGCTGTCGTCTACTGGACAGTTGAGTTGTCACTTAATGATATTTGTGGTATCATCATATATAATTTCTTTATTCCCCTTAATTGTATGCTTGTATAATTTCCTCTGTAATTTACAGAATTTATGAAACAGCTGCACAAAGAATGGTTGTCCTTTGCCAATACATTTTCTCTTTCTTGTACTTTAGTGCTGTGAAAAAGGCTGGAATGTGAGGCCTGTAGCCTCGAACAGAAAGTTAAACATGACACCAAGCTGCTTAAAGTGATTAATGAGGGGATGAGTTTACAGTCCGGTCATGTTGATTGTCTTTTCTGTCATGTATGTATTCAGTTTCAAAATCAGCTCCACCACTCAGTGGATGTCTCTGTTCACAAAGAAACAGTGGAAAGTGTGAACAAATAGCAGCATAAACCTACATTCTGTACACAACATTTGATATTACTGTATTTTCCTTTCTCAGTTGTATTCGTAAATGTAGTTTGTTCTGTACTTTGATAAATGCATGAGCCACATATGACATCCAGAATTTGTCTAAAGATAATGTGCCTGTGTATGTTTCTGTAGTTGCAAGCCTAGGATTGGTGGCCGGCAGTGTGATCGCTGTGCTGCAGGTTATTATCGCTTCCCTGACTGCGTACCTTGCAGCTGTAACCGTGGCGGCGTCACAGCCGACATCTGCCACCCAGACACAGGGAGGTGTCTCTGCAAGGTGAGTTCATTTCAGCACCTTGCTGATTTTAAAAACTCCCTCTGGCTCATTTTTGTTTATTTATCTTTCCCTTGCTTTCTCTTTCTTTCTCTCTATTATTACTGCCATGTTTGTAGAGAAATGTTGCTGGCGTCAAGTGTGATACCTGTCGGGAAGGTTCCTTCTATTTTGACCCCTCCAACCCTCACGGCTGTACCAGCTGCTTCTGCTTCGGAGCGACTGACCAGTGTCAGAGCTCCACCAAACGCAGGGGGAAGGTGTGTTTGCTTTTCGTGCCCCTGCATGTCTATGAATGCCTTTGGAAATGTTTCGCCTGCAGAGCTTTCTGGCTGATAGCAGTTATGTGGTAAACTTTTGCTGTTGTTCAGGAAAAGGGCCTGCAATTGCATAGTGGTGATTTCATTGGATTCTGGGTACATTCTTTGGCTCACAGTCGTATGTTTGTTTGTAATATTATGTGTCTTCAAGTCAAAAGCCCATGGAGTCTGTTATCACTCGTGTATTGTGAATACAGTACAGTTTAAGGATCTTTCACTTTAACCAACAAATGGTTCCCTGCTATAAGTTTGTTGAGATGCAGGCCTGGCGTTTGGAAAGCCCCGATCAGGAGGAGGTTACCTCTGTGCTGAACACAGCCAGTAACACAGTGGTAGCAGACATCCAGGAGCTTCCTCCAACAGTTCAGACTCTACTTTGGGTGGCACCATCGTCCTACCTGGGAGACAGGGTGAGTCATTGAGGGGAGAGAACGCCATGAGAGGAATTTGTGTCAATAAATGTTTACTAATGTTAAGATATGGAAACAGAGTAATAGCTTTATGGTTTTAAAAAGATAAATAAAGAAAGAATTGTTTTTTTTTTTGGGTCTTATCTTTGTCCGTGACCGTGTCCCCCATTTTACTCATTAAACATTCAAATATGACAATGCAGTAATTTAGCTACGATGCCATTTAAAATATGTTATTTAAATGACTCATCTGGAAGGGAAAGTTATGAAATAATAAAATGTCTGTACTATCTGACTTACCATTGTTGCATGTGAACCCAGTTTTTCAGCCCACCCTCACCTTCCTGTTTTCCCCCTTCTATCTAGTTTTGGTTCAGATAATTCAGATAAGCAGTTTTTTTGGCCTCATCTTATTTTTCTTTTATGGACCATCAAATCTTAATAATTAGATTAATAGATAAATGACTATCATGTCAGATAGAAATGATGGCCTCAACTATTACTTTTTAGTTATGAAATAAGACCCACGTTTTCCTTGGAGCTAACTTCTGTGCTTCAGTGGTCTTTGCAGCCTTTTTAGATAAGCTGACAGATATTTGGGCTTTTCCCTTCTCTCGTAGGTTTCGTCTTATGGTGGTTTCCTCACCTATCAGTCCAAATCCTTTGGAATTCCCAGTGAGGGGATGACTCTCATGGACAGAAGACCTGATGTCGTGCTGACTGTGTGTAGTGCTACTTGTTTCTTCACGCTTAGACCTCACCTTTTTTTTTTTTTTATCAGTGGGAGAAACACAGCGTATTTATTCATCATGTTATTTTCCCCCTAGGGTCAGGATATGACCCTGATCCACATGGCTCCACAAGTCCCACTTCCAGACAAGGTGTATCAGGGCAGAGTCCAGCTCTTAGAGGTAAAGTACAAACCAGTTCCTCTTTTTTCACTTAAAGCCCTACTACGCCGTGATTTTAAATAAACCACATGATATGAAAGTGTTGGAAGAGGATGAACCGCACGCTGTTGATTTCTTTTTTTTATCTAAGAGCCAGTTACGATGAGGTCATTCAAACCAATTAGTTGATTCCTTGGGAATCTATTTATTAGATTATAAGATATGTTTGTGTTATGTAGATTTTGACAGCAAAGCAAGTCTTTGAATGACAAACACAGGACGGATTCATCTTCTGGGGAGTGTTAGGAGTTCGATTTTTGACATATGTGAAATTTAATCCTGATAATAGTGCCGGAGGAAAGGTCACCAAAGCCATTAAAGTTCATCCTCAGAGGACCACGAATACAGATTTCTCAGCATTAGTCTCAAAATAACTGATCTGTTGTCTGCAGGGAAACTGGCGCCATGCTGTCACCAACAGGCCGGTCTCCAGAGAGGAACTGATGATGGTCCTAGCCGGTCTGGTTGGCTTGAGGATCCGAGCCTTGTACTTTACTCAGAGCCAGCGACTCAGCTTAGGAGAGGTGGGCCTGGAGGGGGTGACTAACACGGGGACTGGTGGTCCTGGAAACACTGTGGAAGATTGTTCCTGCCCCCCTCAGACCACCGGAGACTCCTGTGAGGTGAGGAGTTTAAAGCCCATTGAATATCCTTCTCTACTGCTTTGTCTTTATTCTTCCTTGAATAAAATAAGGTGTAAAGGTGTGTAGGAAAATGTGAGAAGGTTTTAAGATCATTCAATTACAACCTCTTTTTTCAAATCAAATAATAGTCTTTACTGAACCTGATGAATCTCAAACACAACAGCTATGAAATTTAAGCAATAAACAAGGGTAGCATCGTTAAAATCTTTGCATGTTAAGCTGTGGTTGCACTTGTCTTTTCTATGATACTACTATGGTATTTAGTGGTCAAACAGATAAACAATATAAGTTACTTGTTATTTAACCCTACTTGTTGTTTTTTATTGAAGAATAGCAGTTTACAAAGTTCCTGTCATTCACTCAAGCACAGTTTCCCGTAAATTCTTCACAATAAGAATGTGAAGATGATGTGAGACCTGAGTTAAATCATTAATTGTCCGGATTGTGCCCACATGCTGTCCACACCTCACTGAGATCCGAACTCAATGCGAGCCAGATCCAATCTCGTCACCTTGGCCTTAGTGAACCCTGTCTTGTGTGTCGACAAACATTGGAAGGAATCTGGCTTCATTGACTCTTCCTCAATGAAAAAAAACAAAACTTCTATACTCAAAAATAGTATTTTCTACACCTGAAATACATGCTGTAAAGTGTGTAGATGAACTACGTATGATGGGGAGATTTGGCAGGTCTGAGAAGCAGTGGAGACAACAAGCAGGGTGGAGCAAGGTGTTGATTTGAAATTCCCTTCCGTCATCTTTGAGGAGCTGGACCTCCTCCATATATTTTTAAGGGTGTTCTGACACGCCTGAACCACGTTCCACACCCTTTTCCTACAGGAAAAATTCATCAGAGGGGCAGCTTTGGATGTAATGCACCGGAAAATACCAGCCGGAGAGCTTCACAGTCAAATTGTGTCGCCCCGGGCTGGATATGATGCACAGTCACGCAGACATTATATTAGTGATTATACAGCTATAATCACTGGCATGGCTACGGCTCACAGACACGTAGTGCAAACAACCATGATGTAGTTGCCAAGGAAGAGCTTTACTTGAATTGTTTTTATCCTGGGAATGGTGCTGACTTGAATGAGTGTGTCTGTGCTCCTCAGATCTGATTTGTATACACATGATTGCAGCAGTTTTGCCCATGGTGGCTAATTAAAAAGGAGAATGGAGCAACCGCTAATTTAAAGGGAGATTTTCACGAAACGTAGAGCATTAATTATTGGAGAGAAACATTAATACCAAGAAATGTTTTTGTGAAATGGAAGGTTGCCTTTGCCACAGCTGTGGTTACCTTTCCTGTGTTTACTTGAGCACCAGTCTGATCGGGAGTGTTTAAAGGAAGTTGATTATCTGTGCCCAGAGGCGGTATGACAAGGGCGCCTCACCTTGACACATGGGGTGCGGCCGTTGGCAACACATTGTTAATCATAAATCTGAGTGCGCCAACAGTATGCGTGTGTGTGTGTGTCGGTGCACCCGGCACACCTAGTTGTGTTTGAGGAGCGTGATTCAGGTGTGAGTTTGTTGTCTGCATTGTCTGAGGATGTCTGACTTTCCTCTCAGTCACATATGTTTGCATAAACACCGTTATAAACCACACGCACGCACACAAAAATAGAATCTTAATACATGTTTTACTTGCTTCTTCTAGTAGAGGCTTTATCACCACACCCTTGCAGCTTTAAGTAAACACAGAAGCATTTTTAATATTGCCATTTTCCTTTTCTCTATTCAGAAATGCTGTGGATATTCCTATATTAGCTGTTTGCGCAGGCTTGTGCGTGCACCAACATGATTATAAATATTTCTCGAGCTGTGTGTGTGTGTGTGTGTGTGTGTGTGTGTGTGTGTGTGTGTGTGT